TAGCAAGTTTGACTCCTCTGTTCATATCTAAGGCCATCTTGGGCCTTGAAACACAACTAATGGGAAGGGAGCATAAAGCCTTACTCAACATCGACTAGTCTAACCCATTATCCCAGAGGTGTGGGTCGGGGAGGGAAGAGGTGCGCCACAGAAAACCTCTTCTGAGTGTCTTTGTGTCTGTCTGCCTCTCTCTCGGTGGCTCTGGAGAACCAGTCTCTACAGATCAGTATCACCATCTCCCTGTCAGGCCATCTTCAACAGGGGGGCCACTAGAACCGAAAAACAATCCACAACCCCGTTGTCAGAAACGCTGCTGCTGCACTTTTCATGTACCTGTCTGTCAGCGAACAGGAAATGAGAGCAGAATGCAGAAGGCCGCTCTGTTTCATTTCATAAGAAGGGTGGCTGTGCCCTCCACTGGCAGAGCAGTTCAACTGTTGATCTCAGAGCTGAGATCAACAGGTGACGGCTCATGTCAGGGGGATTCAGGGAAGGCAAGGAGGTAGAGCAACCCGACCCGTTCTCTCTCCCCACTAGGCTTACTCTTCACCACTGTCCACATCTATCTTTCTGTCTGTCTCACTCTCAGCAAGATCCATCAGTAAGAGACTGCCTGACTCAGGATTTGTTTGAAATGATTGAATATTCATATTGGAATTACCCATTTTAGAAATGCATTTTTTTATTTAATAATGTTAATGTGCTTTTGTAGTACTTTCACCTGTAGAGAAATAAACCTAGCTAGGGAGTAGCTGAGCTCAATTGGTAGGGGCTGGGGTTATCACACAAGTCCTGCCCCTTCCTAAGATGGGAGGAAGAGAGGGTATAAAACATATAGAGATGCCCAGTCAAGCATAAGGAAGTCTAAAACCCTGTGTGCTACCTGCTCTATATGTCTGCTCCTGAGTTTCCCACATAGACCTTTACAAAACATGTTGTCACGGTGAGTAAACAATGAATAGCTGCAAATGTTGTGTATAATGAATGCTGAAACAGGGAATATTAGTAATGAAATGTTGCATCTTGGTCCAGGCGTTTTGATCAAAGTGTGAGATTTTCGTTAGGCCTTGATTATGATTATTGTTATGTAATGCTGATGTAATTGATCAATTTATGATGATTCTCAGGGTTAGTATCCACACAATGAAAAATGTACTAGTAAAGCATTGACATTTCATATGATTAAGATAATTGTTTTTCAAGAGCTTGAGAAATAATTTATGTCATGTAAATGTTTGCTGTTGATATTGATGTTGAAGAATACATACTATCTGATCAAATACTTGACTGATGCTCAGTTCTGGTCTTAGCATTATGTTGAATGCTTCATATTGGCTTTATTTGGCAATCTTTCTTGATTCTTCCTCTTGATGTAACACAATTGATATGCTGGCTTTGGAATACTGTGCCCTAGAGACATCTTAGATGTATGCACTGAGGATATAAAATATGATATGGATGACAAGAATATGGACTTAATGTATGTTTATGGCAGACTTATCCATCCACAATGAAATGTCACTTCTATCTGCAAAACTCTATCTCAACTTGAATCATACACTTAAGATTGGACCAGGGATATAATTGATCCTTGTTATAAAACATTTGATTTACACCTATGTATTCCTCCATCTTTTGATATACATCTTCTTTATCTACAGAAATATTTTAATTGCTTCTGTAGTTGTCTTTTTGGCAACAACAATTTCAACTGCTCCTGTGGAAGGTATGGATGTAGCTCATTGAATCAAAGTTGTATTAATTGTGATATTTGAACAGGTAAACAACTCAATGCCTTCTTTCTTTAGAGAAAGAGCCGGAGGAGATAGAGGTAGAGGATGGTGAAGAGGAACTCTCAGAAGAGGAGGAGGGTATGAGATGGGAGGGAGGGAGGGAGGTTCAGGGAAGGATGAGGGAGTGGGGGGTTAGAGTCATGTGTCAGGATACCATAGGACTAGCTAGTGCTGGTACGACGAAAAGAGTCCTAGGCTAAATGTGACATAGTAAGCTATTAACAAACTAAAATAATGCCTTCCCCCCTATGGCTAACAGAGGTCAAAACAAAGATCAATGCAGTCTTTTCTGATTATAAAATGAGGTAAAGAATACATTGAGTGAGAGTGTAGAAATGTCTAATATAACAAAATAAATTCTATGTAACTAATTTTAAAAAGGACTAACCCTCTTTAAAGAAATTATAAAGTAATTTTTTAAGGGCACTCAGACCTATAAAGTTAATACCAATTTCCTCCACTCATGCAAAAGGGTATACACTCTTAGAAAAAAAGGTGCTGAACCTAAAAGGGTTCTTCGGCTGTCCCCATAAAAGAACCCTTTGAATAACCCTTTTTGGTTCCAGGTAGAACCCTTTTGGAACCCTTTTTTCTAAGCGTGTAACCTTTCAGGACCAATTTGTGTATCTTTTTTCGGCAACTTATACTTCATAATATTTTACATTTGTTTCAATAGAGGGAACGACGTCTTCTAAATATGTGTGGAGCACAGACTTCTGGGAAGTATAGAATATGAGCAGCTATTTATGAAATGTCTCAACTTCCTTTTCTTTTCAGATGATGATGACTCCAAGAGTCAGGAAAAGAATATGGGTGAGAAGTTAACAACTTGCCACCAATGAATAGAACATATCTAACCTTTGTGCATAAACCAACGTCTACCTGTGTGACTAAAGCCCCATTTTGAGAGTAAACTTACGTAAATGGTTAAACTAAGAGCATAAATTTGTTTTTCCTGTTTGAATGTTTTGCATAATATTACCATAACACATTTCAAAGACAAATGGGCCCTCATTAATCCCAAATACAAACAAAATATAAAATAGTAAAATAATGAAAATGTGAATATGATAAAGCTACAAAACAGGACATAAGAGTACATTTAAAGTAAAATATCACATATTGTTGGTATAAAACTATCATTAAACACAAGTATGTGCATGTGCGCATGCATGTAAACCTTAAATCCTCTCCAATAAGGTATTATACCAGAATAAAGGTTTTTAATTGATAAAGATGTAATCATACAGAATCTCAAACAGAAGTATCTTCCTTTTCCCTTCTCTTCCCTCAAGGAATTGGAGCACAGCAAGCTACCACAATATCTAAAGGCCTGGGTAAGACAAATCTAATCCTCTCTTAGCTCAGGGGATACGGCTTATGTTAAAAACAGACTAGCTCTTAGTTCAGTGACTTCAACTCTAACAAGTTCTTAGTGCAAAGTGGTGAAGTTGTCTAGAGTATAGACTTTAATCTGGTAAATGCTGCAGATATTTGGCAGATTTTTCCATTAGATAGCCTATCAGGAAAGTTAATAACATGTTATTCATCATTCTTGCAATCAGACCATTTGAGGCTTTCTTCCATAAAAGTGAGTTAAACTCACTGCAGAAGTCTGTAATATGTTTGAGTCTTACAATACAGGATACATATTTGTAAAGGAATGTATTGAAAGGTTTTCAATGGACTGTTAAATAAGGTTGTCTAGACTTAAAGGCTGGTTTCCTTCTAGGTATAAGCGCTCAGCCTGGCACCTCGTTCCAGGGCGAAGCTCCAAATGGTAAGGGAGGAGTTCCTTTATAACAGTCAATCCAAATACAATTTGTACATTTGAAAAATATTTTATAGGAACCCATTCACTCCCTTTACTGGTTTGGTAAGCGTATGGGCTGTAAATTGGTTGTGTAATTGGTTATAAGTGGGGATTGTGTGTAGGCTGATCTTGTAAATGTATTAAGGACATTTCACATCTGAATTACACAAATCAGACAAGAAAAGTCTTATGATGACCCTCAACATAAAATCCCTCACGAATGTACCTCTTCTTCTTGTAGGACATAAACTCAATGGGGATAGTGCCATGCAAGCTGGCCCTGACCGTGAGTTAGGCTCCATAACTTTAAATATGTGGCCCTTTTTATTTGTATTTAACAAAAACTGTATTACAATCTTAAATATTGAGAAAATGTTGTTTGCTGTGTTACAGCATCAAGCAGTACCTCAATATCAGAAGGAAGTAATGGTAAAACATTAATTATAAATCGATTTGTGTTAGAAGAATTAGGCCATACCATTGCATTTCCATATTAATTATACATACTATAGATCTGGCACATGGACTGAGTTAAAGGGCAATTCTGCCACTTTTCAATATTCATTATCTCCAGCACCAAACCAGTATCTACATATGTGAAAACAGAGCGTTTCTATGATCTGTGGTTAAAAAGATAAGAAGAAAGGTTCTAAAAAATGCTTCTCCGTGACATCACAGGGTTGGATTAAAAGTTTTTACAAATGGTGATTTTCAAAACCTGCAATGAATTTCTAGCCAGTGGGAGGGTCACCGTGAATCTCATAGCGTTTGAAAATCACTGTTTTTAAAATGGTTTAACTTTTGATGATGTCAAAGGGTAGAACCTTTTAATTATATATTTTTTTTACAAAGCGTAGAAATGCGCCGTTTTCACGTGAAGACACTGGTATTGTACTGGAGATAATGAAAATTAGGTTTAAAAGTGGGGGAATTGCCTTTTAACAAAGGCAGCCCAATTCTGATATTTGTTTCACTTTTGAATTGGATTTGATTTATTTGGGTAAAAGACATATAGAACAAAATGTACAATTTGGACCCAAAGGATAGCACTTAAAATTATTAATTAAAACACTTGTTTCCAAAGTGGTCCTCGATGGTAAAAACAAATAACCCATATAATGATTAAAAGACAAGACAAAATAACAAACAACCATATTACATTCATTTATATTGACATCCTAAAAAGAGGAACTATACGTTTTTACCATCACATCAATTATTTTGCCCATATTTGGGCAAAAGATTAGAATTGGGGTGCCTGTGTAAACGCAGCCATGGTGGAATACATTTGTGGACTGAATGGCCTGATGTGTTCCTATCTGCTTCAGGTAATGGTGGTGGTGGAGGAGGAGGTGGTGGTGGTGGAGGAGGAGGTGATGGTGGTGGAGGAGGAGGTGGAGGAGATGCACATACTTCACCCTTTGACCCCAGCTCCCATGGTAAAGCCTTGTTCTGTCATCTATTACCATGTTATTACAACTTCATACTGCGCTGTCATGTTAAGTGCTACTAGGAGTTTGGTTTAAACAATCTGTCTTAACATCCCCTGTCTTTCAGATGCTTCTTTGCCAGGACATACAGGTTCCTCTTCCAGTATTGCAGATAAAATTACTTATTATAAATTATTAATTATTAATCAAGTCATATAATGTTTGAAATTATATCTCTATTGAATCTAATAAACAGTGGCATGTTTGTATCTACTAAAATTTGATGAAAAGTGTTTTCCTTTCAATGCAGGTCCAAGTTTGGATCCGAGTCAAACAGGTAATGCTACACCCGCTCTCTCCACAAGATTTGAAGTAGACCAAAAAACCACCTGGATGTTTTACAAGCTCTGTCTGAATGGCTGTGGTTTGTCTCTATTGGGGAGGTTGAACTAATGATCTCTTGGCAGGTGCAGGGGTTCAGGGAAGTTCAGTGTCACACGTGCAAGCCCCAGGTAATATTTCTGCCTTGGTTCAATTCTATAACAATAGTCCAATAATGCATGACATAAAACCTGGATAAATTGTATTGATAATCTCTTTGCTGAAGCTGAATTTCAACATCATTATTTTAGGAAAAGTGGTTGTCCACCCAGGAACAGGGGTTGTCCACTCAGATACAATCTCTCATGGTAAGTCATCTTGGTCTACATTTGAAGAGTTTATTTCCAAAACGCTATATCCCCCCAAAAAATCACATTTGTGTTTTTTCATCAGAAAGTATTGCTTATGGGTACATACTTATGGTACATACAAGTGTGTGTAAAATATGACTGTTCTCAGATTATTTACTTATAGATTTTAGATGTGTATCAAAATGTGTTGTTTTTGCAAAATGCTTATATCCATTGTTTAGCTGGAATGGAATGTTGGGATCCTGTTTACTGTGGTTGTCCCACCTAGCTATATTCAGATCAATGCACTAACTGTAAGTCATTCTGGACAAGAGCATCTACTAAATGACTAAAATGTAAAATACAAATGTTTTACATACAGATCTCATACTACTGTACATTTCTTTATAAAAATGTAGTTATTTGTTACATTTGACTGTGTAAAACCTAGCAGTACTATTTATTTATCTGAGAGTGAAGCGGATATATAGAATTTTGCAAAAAAAACATGATAATTTGCCTCTCTGGAATGAAACCATCAAGTGATAGATTTTAAACAAATACTTGTATGTCATTGAATAACCCAATGCCATGATTAGACAGTGAAAAAACACACCTATCTCCTTCATAATTTCTTTAAACAATAAAAGCTAATTTCCCAACATTTATGAAAATGAAAATAGATAAATAGCATTTTGGAATGAAACTCTTAATTAGTTTGTATAAGCATATCTCAATAGTCCCTTGCAGTGATTAACGTTGTCTTATGTTCAATGTGTTTACCTTATAGGCTCAATGGGACAAGCAGGAGGGAGCTCCACTCTCATCATTATCCATGAGACTCATCCACAGCCTGCAGGTATCATTCACTACATACAGCCACAGAGAGTTCTGGTGACAGACCTGTGACAAACAATCATATGCAGTTATGAGTTATAACGACCAATAATAATATCACTCAGTCATGTGTAGCAAACCGGTAACGAACAATCAAGTGAATGTGTGGGTTTGGATAATGACCATGGATAACACATAGTCAGGTAAACTTTGTCTTTAATATTTTATTTTAGTGTCAGCCCACCAACAAAGTGGATCTCATCTAGATTCAAATGGTAAACATTATTATTAAGCTACGGTCTAAAATCCATTGTACCCCTTTCCTGCAGTCAAATGACCAAATCGCGCCATGGGTGGAATGTTATTAATATTTTTCATAATTTCATAAATAATAAACATAATTTTACAAATCTCGCCCGAAAATCCAGTGTTTCTATGTCAAACAGTTTTGTTATATTTCAGTATTCTGTGATGTATATAAAGTATAATATTAGAATGCAAACTCAAAATTGAATACATTTCAACTCTATATCTGACATGGTACAGGTGTCTTATTTTTTTTAAGCCCATAACCATGTGTGTGAAGGTGTATACTTTTGTTTCAAAGTAGATTTGTTTAAGACTACCAAGAAACACTCTGTGTGACTCTGATTTAGCCCACTGCAGTAAAAGTTTATTAATCATTTCAATTTCCAAGATGCTCTGTATATTATTTACAGTATGTAAAGTACATCACATATATGATCCACAACTGGCATACTTACAATGATTAAATCAGGGCAGCGTTGCATTTTTATTACAGGTGGCAGCATTCATACATTTGATGCTGCTGGCCTTCAGACTGAGGCTCCAAGTAAGTTCATACTGACACTAAAGAAGCAGACAGACACTATCACCATGAATGGAAAAACATCAGTTTACAATATATTACATGAATGAGGAATGAACAACACAGGCACACTACTGTAAGGATGTAGGATCTTAACTTGATCACTCTCTGGTTGCTGAGAATTTTCCTGCATCGCAGGAAATGCCAATGAGCTTTGTGATGTATATAAATTCCCTGAAAACCCACACTAACAGACAGTTATATTAACAGTATTGCACTTTTCACGTAGCCTACTTTTGGCCAGCTAATACCCTAACCACTGATAAAGCAACATTATGGACAAAAAGTTAAAATCCTGTTGCTGCAGGATTATTTTGCTGTGACAATATAGGTCAAATTAAGATCCTACATCTGTATGTAATAATTTTACAGGTATAGGTATACTGGTAGCTTTCTTGCACTAACACTTGCACTTTTCTTTCCTTACTAGCACTGACTTTACTACCACTGACTTTACTAGCACTGACTTTGCTGATAGCTGCTGTACTGACGAAAAGTTTAACTTACTATGACTGTGATATCATATGTGGTTGTCTTCCCTAGCTACCTTAAGATGAATGCACTAACTGTAAATTGCTCTGGATAAGAGCGTCTGCTAAATTACTCAAATGTACATGTAAATATGATTGATCAAGACATGTATTGTATGTGTTTCAGCAAGTGAGACTGAAATAGAGTCTCCTGAGTATGACACACCTGAGTCACCTGAGTTTAATGGTAATTATCTCAGATAAGCCATTTTTCAATTTATTTTAGCCACATCATGTACATGTGAACGGTGAAGATCACAATTCTCTTACACTCCTTGGTATAATCCTACAAAGAACAGAGTTACGAACCAGAAGTGTCATGGTATTTATTGGATCTCAATGTTGTTTCCAAGGTAATGGTCACAAGCTGCTGATTGGAGGAGCAGTAGAAAATGGACATGCAGGTAAGGAGAAGGACTTCATTGCTCTTGATCAGAAAACATGATGGAGTTTGGCATTTGTGAGGCCATTTTGATTGTCAATGTCTTTCTGTGTCTCAGTTATACCTGTAGTCACTGACCTCTTCATCGAGGACACAACTCACATGGATCCCACAGGTAACATCTTGCTGAAAATCCAATAAAGATGAAGTCATGGGCTTGTTTGTTTAATGATAGGGCAAATGAGTAGACGATAGAATGCCTTGATACTTTTTAATAGGTTCAACATTTCAGGTGCTATGGATCCACTTGGTGCAAGTTCTCACCTGGACAATACAGGTGAGTGTCCAGGTGAGGGTGCAATGTTTCACATTTGGCTCCTGTCTGGTATATTTACTTGCTTCTCCATCATTTCTTCACTTAATTCCATATTGACATTCAGGTATTATCGACCAATCCAGCCATGACTTCCTCATTGGTTTAATGGGTGAGTGTTTGTAAGAACTTATCGTTGATGTTTCTTTTTAGGTAATTCAAGTTTGTTCTTCATTAACTGTCTGTCTTTCCAGGTGGTGTGGGGGATCCGTATGGTCCTGACATCCATATCGACATCTCAGGTGGGTTTGTCATCATAGCCCTTCTGTGTCTGCTTTCTGTTGGGTCTTTTCGGACTATAAAGAATCACTGTTCTTCTTTGTTGAATCAGAAATATCTAACCAACACTGCTCTATTGATAGATCACACTGGAATTACTTCTCCATTAGACTCAATAGGTACGTTTCTTTATTCAAGCCTCCGTTAGTCACTTCACTTCTTCACTTGAAAGAAACGTTACAATGCAACACCTTTGGGAGAGTTACTCTGTGGGAGAGTTACTCTAAATTATATCCGATTTAAGGTATATTTAAACTGGCACAGATAATGTTATACTACATCTCTAAAGCATAATTTTATTTAAGTAACTCTCTGTCTGAGGGGTTAAAACAGCAAGCCACAAACTCCACTCTGAGGAGTTTATATTCCATATTGTGCTAGTTATCTGTGCTGCTGCAGAGTAAATCACTGTTACAGTTATTCCAGCTCTTGTAATAATTTACTCAAGGAAAACTGCTTTAAATCAGGTTTGCAGGTTTGATATATATATATCACTGGCTGTCTGGTGCTCTCTCTCTCTCTCTCTCTCTCTCTCTCTCTCTCTCTCTCTCTCTCTCTCTCTCTCTGCTCTCTCTGCTCTCTCTCTCCTCTCATCCAGCTGTGGGTTCAGATCCAGGACCGGCGTTGTCGTCCAGTAGCAGCCCGGATCCAGACGTTCCACCAGGTACCTACTGGCACGTCTTCTACCCTCCGCCAGGTCCTGTAAATCACCTCACCCCTCCCTCTTGTGTCGTCCCTCATCTACTCAGGCTCTGTTCTCTACCTCACCTCGGAGAGAGCTCCTCACAGGCTTGTAATCATGACAGAGTTTTCAGAGCGTCCCAGAGAATTTACGTCCGAAGAATTTTTAAAACTCCAAGATTATCATTGGGTCCATGTGTTCCTGTCTGTGCAGACAGCGAGTTACTTGTGTAGCTGTGCTTGTGAACTTTGCAGATCTTGACATTGTTTATCTTTGCAGCTTTGCTGTAGACTTTATGTCTTGGTGGAGTAGCACCACCATCACTGATGAATGGGGTCAGGCCTATTAGGAGGGATGCAGTGCAATAACAAGAGATGAGGGTTCTCATGATTCACATAATCCAATCATTTATTTTATTTCTTTCTCTGCGTGTCTGATTTTCTTCCTCCAGGTCTTGTAGATCACATAGGTCTAATAAGTGATTTTACAGGTAGGCATTGTGAGCCACAATTATTAATTGTCTAATAAATAGATTATGATTCACAGTTGAAAATGAAAATGTAAACAGTAGTTATGGGTGAAAGCAAATAGGGTCTGTCAACTAGTTTGTATCATTGCCCTACTTGTGGTCTCTTTTTATCTGCAGGCACCACTGACTACTCAGGGCTCGACCATCCTTATCTGAGCTCAGGTTTCGATGGATCATACCACTCAGTAGGTGATCATGCTGGTCTATCCGATACTACAGGTAAATACACTAAAATCATAATCTCTGTAAGAGGATAGTGACCAAGACGGCATGGAAAAGCTTCATCTCAGTTTCTCTCTCCAGACCACCCAGTAGCAGTGATGTCACATACTGATTATTCATCATCACAGATTGACCACCCAGGTAGGATCACACTCAGGACTAAAAATAACATACCCACGTTAAAGGTGATCTTCTGTAGCTCAGTTTGTAGAGCATGTTGCTTGCAATGCTAGAATAGTGGGTTTGATTCCCGGGACTGCCCGTATGTAAAATGTATGCACACATGACTGTAAGTCGCTTTGGATAAAAGTGTCAGCTAAATGACATATATTTAATTATTTAATTAAATACATTATACTATGAATGTATTTCAGAGAATGGTATTAATGTGTCCAGCTCAGACGTAGGAATATAAAGGATGATTAAGATAATGTCAGCATAGATTAACATGTATGTTGCAGGGAATGGTCGTCAAAGCCAGGTTACAGACACACATGGAGGTGACCATCCGGTCAATGACATGCATCATGATGTAACAGGTATGTCTACCCTAAAGGTCTATGGAAGCCAGTAGGCCAAGGCTAGCCTGGATGCCAGTCTGTTTCTGCTCTCCTGCCAACTCCTAATGGAATTGTCATGCCAAACAATTAAATGTTTAGCTTCCAATGACAATGGAGTAGGCAAAAGCAGCAGATCTGGGACCAGGCTAGTACTAGGCTAGAACCAGGGGTATATTTGCATTTGATGGAGCAAAACAAATGCCACATGCATTATTTGAGAGGCATTGAGGATATGTGCTTGATATTATTTATCACAATACGCCTAATGCAAAATACACCATTGTATTGGTAGGCTATGACAGTGTTTTTGCTTTTCAGATCCATCTGGGCAGCAGATTGTGGCTACAGACGTAGGCCTACTAGATGCTGGTAACTCAGTGTTTGAATTCTCCGTTATTTACAAACCTATTTCAATGCATTTGTTAGTCATAAACAACTTTTTCTGTCTGCTTAATTGCCTGCTGTATGTGCGAAATAATGGATTGGACCTCAGTTGTGTAAAGTACTTAAGTAAAAATAGTTTAAAGTACTACTTAAGTAGTTTTTTGGGATATCTGTACTTTACTTTACTATTTATATTTTTGACTACTTTTACTTTTACTCCACTACATTCCTAAAGAAAATAATGTACTTTTTACTCCATACATTTTCCCTGACACCCTAAAGTACTTGTCAAATTTCGAATGCTTAGCATGACAGGAAAATTCAGCACTTATCAAGAGAACATCCCTGGCCATCTCTGCTGCCTCTGATCTGGCGGACTCACTAAACACAAATGCTTCATTTGTAAATGAAGTCTGAGTATTGGAATGTGCCCCTGGCTATCCATAAATAATTAAAAAACGAGAAAATATGTTAATTGCTTAATATGTGAAATTATTTATATTTTTACTTTTCATACTTAAGTATATTTAAAACCAAATACCTTTTGACTTTTACTGAAGTAGTATTTTGCTGGATGACTTTCACTTTTACTTGAGTCAATTTCTATTAAGGTATCTTTACTTTTACTCAAGTATGACAATTAGGTACTTTTTCCACAACTGTTGGACCTGTTATGGTCTTATGTTATGTCTCGAGCAACAATTGTCTCATTGAACTATAACTTTTGTGGAAAATGAGTGTCATGATGGAAAATAGGCTTCACCAAGGCCAGTGCTGGCAAAATAAATACCTCCATTAAAAACGGTCCAGGGATGAAAATTCCCAGGACGTCTATCTGTCAGCGTAAAGTGTTCTACGCTTATTTTCACACAGGAAAAATATACTTTTCAAAAAAGTTTTTCCAAAATGTTAGCCATCACCACTCAGTTTTTCTTCGTCCCTTATTTCCTGAAGGTGAGCACGGCGTCGTCTCTCATCACAACGACATGGGAGGTGAGTCCTACGAAAATGGAATCAATGATAAGCCTACATTTAATTTGCGAGTTAAACATTTCTGAAGGCATCACTTTTTACAATGTTGTTGTAATAGTGTTGCAACAATGTTTCATTATGAGAGCTCACGCAGGAATTTTGCGGGTAGCGTTCTAATTTCGCGGTACTTCAGCTGTTACAGACGGGGTCGCTGTTCAGCATCATGATGACGTTCACACCGTCGGCCCTCAAACAGATACCACAGGTAAGCCACCACCTTGAAAGCCTACAGTGAGGTTGATTGAATTAGGCTAGGCCTACTAATGTCTTTTGAATGTTTCTATGAGCAGGGCTGTCTAACTTGGCTACACAACTTCCCTCTACAGGTAGAACACTCTCTTGACTTTGACTTTGTTTGCTAATGCTTTGTATACTGTACATGTAAAAGAAATGCACTATGCAGGTCCCTGGATAAATAAAGGTTAAATATATTACTTATTTTTATGCAGAAATCGCTCCGCCATTTCGTGTTGCCCAAAAATTTACATATTGCATATTTAAGTTACTGATAATGGAGAAAATAAATTCATAGTTTACCTTCACAAGTAGAGTCTGAAATATTCTGTGCACAGGTACAATGATACAGGTGTCAATGTGTGAACAGGTGCGGCAGAAGAACTTGTAACCAGCTCACATACACATATAGATATCACTGGTAAGGACTTGAAGTGTATGTTTCAGCCCATCTATTTACTATATATTGTATACATTTACAAGATCAAACAAGAACATCCCATTACTACACTGGGTAACATCTAATAAAACATATTTAGTAGGCTAGTCAAACAAATGGATACTCAATCAAGTCCATCTAACAGCCAGTAACTCACGTGTTTCTCCTCCTCCCTAGCCCTTGGGGCGAATGTGTACAGCTCCAGCGCACCAGGCACGGCTGGTAGGCTACGTACTTGTCTGATGATCAAGCATTCATTCTCTCACCTGCTTATTTTTAGAGCTGACACACTGCTTTGCCACTGCATCGCTAGTTAAGCCAACATCCATTTAACACTCAGCACAGAGCCGGCTGGGCTGGGGCCAGCCTGAGGAAGGGAAGACAGTGAGGAGAAATAAAGCTGTCACTAACACAGAGCATATTGTGGGAAACAGCATTCAACCACACATTTCCTTAGATTTCCTCTGGAACAGTGTTCTGGAGTAGTTTAGAAAAGTCTAGAATAGGCACACAATCCTAATAAAATAGGTATATATATATATATATATATATATATATATATATATATATATATATATATATATATATATATATATAGTACCAGGCACACAATCCTAATAAAAAAGTATTATAATAATATATATATATATATATATATATATATATATATATATATATATACTGTACCAGTCAAACTTTTGGACACCTACTCATTCCAGGGTTTTTCTTTATTTTTACAAAAAACTATGAAATAACACATATGGAATCATGTAGTAAACAAAAAAGTGTTAAACAAATCAAAATATATTTGAGATTTGAGAATCTTCAAATAGCAAATACGGAAAATTTCAAGAACTTTTAAAGTTTCTTCAAGTGCAGTCGCAAAAACCATCAAGCGCTATGATGAAACTGGCTCTCATGAGGACCGTGGGATGGAAGACCCAGAGTTACCTCTGCTGCAGAGGATAAGTTCATTAGAGTTACCAGCCTCAGAAATTGTAGCCCAAATAAATGCTTCACAGAGTTCAAGTAACAGACACATCACAACATCAACTGTTCAGAGGGCACCAATAAGAAGAAGAGACCTGCTTGGGCCAAGAAACACGAACAATGAACATTAGACCGGTGGAAATGTGTCCTTTGGTCTGGAGTCCAAATTTGAGATTTTTGATTCCAACCGCCGTGTCTTTGTGAGACGCGGTGTGGGTGAACGGATGGCCTCCGCATGTGTATTTCCCGCCGTAAAGCATGGAGGAGGAGGTGTTATGGTGTGGGGGTGCTTTGCTGGTGACACTGTCTGTGATTTATTTAGAATTCAAGCCACACTTAACCAGCATGGCTACCACAGCATTCTACAGCGATACACCATCCCATCTGGTTTGGGCTTAGTGGGACTATCATTGGTTTTTCAACAGGACAATGACCCAACACACCACCAGGCTGTGTAAGGGTTATTTTACCAAGAAGGAGAGTGATGGAGTGCTGCATCAGATGACCTGGCCTCCACAATCCCCCGACCTCAACCCAATTGTGATGGTTTGGGATGAGTCGGACCGCAGAGTGAAGGAAAAGCAGCCAACAAGTGCTCAGCATATGTTGGAACTTCTTCAAGACTGTTGGAAAAGCATTCCAGGTGAAGCTGCTTGAGAGAATGCCAAGAGTGTGCAAGCTGTCATCAAGGCAAAGGGTGGCTATTTGAAGATTCTCAAATATAAAATATACTTTGATTTGTTTAAAACTTTTTTGTTTACTACATGATTCCATATGTGTTATTTAATCGGATTCTACAATGTAAAAAATAGTAAAAATAAAGAAAAACCCTTGAATGAGTAGGTGTGTCCAAACTTTTGACTGGTAGTGTATACAGTGGTGTGAAAAAGTGTTTGCCCCCTTCCTGATTTCTTATTTGTTTGCATGTTTGTCACACTTAAATATTTCAGATCATCAAACACATTTAAATATTAGTCAAAGATAACACAAGTAAACACAAAATGCAGTTTTGAAATTAAGGTTGTTATTATTAAGGAAAAACAAAATCCAAACCCACATGGCCCTGTGTGAAAAGGTGATTGCCCCCTACAACCTAATAACTGGTTGGGCCACCCTTAGCAGCAACAACTGCAATCAAGCGTTTGCGATAACTTGCAATGAGTCTTTTACAGCGCTGTGGAGGAATTTTGGCCCACTCATCTTCGCAGAATTGTTGTAATTCAGCCACATTGGAGGGTTTTCGAGCATGAACTGCCTTTTTAAGGTCATGCCACAGCATCTCAATAGGATTCAGGTCAGGACTTTGACTAGGCCACTCCAAAGTCTTCATTTTGTTTTTCTTCAGCCATTCAGAGGTGGACTTGTCCTGCTGCAGAACCCAAGTTCGCTTCAGCTTGAGGTCACGAACGGATGGCCGGACATTCTCCTTCAGGATTTATTGTAGACAGCAGAATTCATGGTTCCATTTATCACAGCAAGTCTTCCAGGTCCTGAAGCAGCAAAACAGGCCCAGACCATCACACTACCACCACCATATTTCACTGTTGGTATGATGTTCTTTTTCTGAAATGCGGTGTTACTTTTACGCCAGATGTAATGGGACACACACCTTCCAAAAAGTTCAACTTTAGTCTCGTCAGTCCACAGAGTATTTTCCCAAAGGTCTTGGGGATCATCAAGATGTTTTCTGGCAAAAATGAGACAAGCCTTAATGTTATTTTTGCTCAGCAGTGGTTTTCGTCTTGGAACTCTGCCATGCAGGCCATTTTTGCCCAGTCTCTTTCTTATGGTGGAGTCATGAACACTGACCTTAACTGAGGCAAGTGAGGCCTGCAGCTCTTTGGATGTTGTTGTGGGGTCTTTTGTGACCTCTTGGATGAGTCGTCGCTGTGCTCTTTGGGTAATTTTGGTCGGTTGGCCACTCCTGGGAAGGTTCACCACTGTTCCATGTTTTCGCCATTTGTGGATAATGGCTCTCACTGTGGTTCGCTGGAGTCCCAAAGCTTTAGAAATGGCTTTATAACCTTTTCCAGGCTGATGGATCTCAATTACTTTCTTTCTCATTTGTTCCTGAATTTCTTTGGATCTCGGCATGATGTCTAGCTTTTGAAGATCTTTTGGTCTACTTCACTTTGTCAGGCAGGTCCTATTTAAGTGATTCCTTGATTGAGAACAGGTGTGGCAGTAATCAGGCCTGGGTGTGGCTAGAGGAATTGAACTCAGGTGTGATAAACCACAGTTGAGTTGTGTTATAACAGGGGGGGCAAACACTTTTTCACACAGGGCCATGTAGGTTTGGATTTTGTTTTCCCTTAATAATAACAACCTCAAAACCATTTCAAAAACTGCATTTTGTGTTTACTTGTGTTATCTTTGACTAATATTTAAATTTGTTTGGTGATCTGAAACATTTAAGTGTGACAAACATGCAAACAAATAAATCAGGAAGGGGGCAAACACTTTTTCACACCACTGTATATATATATAAATATTTTGGTTTTACAGTATAACAGTGTAATATCCCCTCTTATTTTAAACAGGGTTAGATGAGGTGGCTGTGACCAGTGGACTCTTTAACTCTACAGGTTAATTTTAACCAATGACATAATCCTCACATGATACACTCACACACATATGTTCAGGCTTGGAAGGTGATAAGTATACATTTTTCAATTACAGATTCTGTGCTTGGATTCGGACATGACACTACAGGTAAAATTCCATTTGCAACAACACATCAGAAGTAATAGACAACTAAACCAGACAATTCCCATCACACAACACACTTATAACATCATACACTCTGTCTCTCAGTTGTCGCAGAAGCACACAGTGTCTTCATTCAGACCGATTCCCCAGGTAAGTCTGCACGCACGCACACGCACACACACACACACCAATCTTACCATTTACATTAACATTTCAGAAAAAAGACATACACTTCCACACAACACACACACAATACACACACAACACACACAGCACACACTAGCCTCCTAAAATACAGTGTGAATGTATGTAATACCATCAGTTACTGGGGATCCACATGGAGCAATATCCCAGACAGACGCCATAGTGGGCAGGGGTGAGTGAGGTTCCCTTACCACTCATTACTCATCAGAGATTGTGCACTATAAAGAGAATAGTGTGCTATAGTCTCTGGTCAAAAGTAGTGCACAATATAGGGAATAGTGTACCATTTGGGACAGAGTCTTACTATACACTGCCAGTCACTACATAACAAAACGAAACGCCTTTACTCACCATGTTGAATCTATTTTTTGTATCGTAGTCACAGCTGATCCACAAGGATCCACTCTACAGGCTTCCAGTAAGTTGGTACAGAATATTAATTTACGCAACCCCTTGACCTTGCACAAGTATCTGTTGCTCCTAAAGGCTTCATGAAATGAAAAGTAGCGGTAATAGTCCTTTGATCTTGGAGCAATAGCATAGATTAATCAACCAATCAATAAAATGTATTTACAGCCCAACAATTGTCATAAAGTGCTTTACAGATCTTTGCAGTTAATCATAGTCTAGGTGTGAAAAGCATTGCAATTGATGACAGACAGCCCTGGTTGTCCCGTTCACGGTGGTCTCCCCCTGCTCTGTTCGTAGGGTCTGTGTTCATGCAATGTCTTTGTCCAAACAGGTCATCCTGGTGTAACAGAACAGACACAACCTGCAGGTAAGCTTCATAGGAGTTTAGGTTTAAACTCTGTTACATGGCTGCGTTTACACAGGCAGCCCAATTCTGATCTATCTATCTATCTATCTATCTATCTATCTATCTATCTATCTATCTATCTATCTATCTATCTATCTATCTATCTATCTATCTATCTATCTATCTATCTATCTATCTATCTATCTATCTATCTATCTATCTATCTATCAATTTGACTCCAAAGGCTGCGTTTACACAGGCAGCCCAATTCTGATCTGATTGGTCAAAAGACCAATTAGTGAAAAAAATTATCCGAATTGGGCTGCCTGTGTAAATGCAGCAAAAGTAATTGAAATAGCGAAATGGATCCATGTGACAAATGTATCCGTTTTTATTTACACAGTCACCCTAAGAACCCAAAGCAGATTTTTTTTATATATCAAATCTTTTTTTCTGACTGTCTACACTCAGTTTTATATGTGACCCATATCAGATTTGAACATTCACACTGATGTAGCCTCTGAAGTAGCACACAGATGCCATGCTCATTTCCTGTCACTGTTCCTTAACATTTTGGGGTGGTTGTCATGGTAACGACATGAGGTCATGTATGGAGGATAGGGTTTGTATCAGGATTCAGATCCATATATGGAGGTGGTATAAATCGGAAGTCAAAAGATCAGATTCCATGTGTTGTTTTGCTGTTTACACATTAGGGAAAATATCAGATAGGTATCAGATATGCAAATAATTGGCAAAAGCTTAACTTGTTATTTACAGTAGCACAGGATTGCACGCTTTCAGATATTACAATGCTGTGTCATCATGACAGCATATATTGAACCACTAAGTGAACAGTTCCTCAAGGGCTCTTTTCTTTCCTCGGTTTTGCTTGCTCTTTCCAGTTTCCGCAGCTGAACAGTACAACCCATCTGGTCAGGGTCCTGAAGGTAGGTTTCTCAGCTCCTTACAACTTCTCTCTCGTCTCTCTCTCTTCTTTTAAAAACATTTAATAAATGACAAAAGGCTTGTTTTATTTACATTATGTACTCCCCTGTTAAAACACATACAATATAATCGTATAACTAATCTTTTTTATTACACTGTATTAACTACAGTAGTAAGATGGCAAAGTTTCTGACTACAATGTTTCAGGTGATAAGACAGTGCTGTTATACTGTACCTTTGAAAGAGAGACAAAGGTAAACTCTTGATTGGTACTACAAGTATAAAAAAGTGAGCAAGTAAAAATGAAGGACACTAAAGTAGTATTACTGCCTCTGAGGTAGGACTCAATGCTACAGTATACTGCTAATATACTCAATATGTTGTAATTCTACAATATATTGCATAACTTTTTCAACATTAAAGGGATAGTTCACACAAATTACAGATTGCGGTCTCGTCCATAATACTAATAATATCTGAGCTACAGAGGACCACATAGACTGCTCACAGGTTAAGGAAACCTAAATGTAATTTTGTAATTTGGTTGAACTATCCCTTCAATCAGCTTTTAGAGGTAGATCAATTACAGATATGTGTGTCAAAGACTAAAATACATATTCACTTCTGAAGGTGCAGAAAATGTGGAACTGGAGGATACCTGCTGACTTCCATATGAAGCCTCGTGTCAAGTTTCTACGCTACAGATTTCAGTGTACGGACCAGTCTGCATGGCAGAGAAACAGTGATCCAGCCCACTAGCAAATCTAGTTGTTGTTTGTGTCTATGTCTATTTAAACTTAAAGATGACACTGTAAGTAAACTTTTTGCGCACTTGTTAATAAATTACCCTGTACGTTTAGTTTTATTAGTTGCATATATGACAAAAACTACTAACGAAAGCCCTCTGATTCAGATGAAGACGGCTGTATGTCGTCCCTATGGAAAGCTCAGACAATATACTGAATCTTTATGAAGCTTTGTTATTTTGTAATTTCCGCAAGTACTGTATTTCCGAGTTTTGAAAATGTGAGAAAAATTCATCTCGTGTCAGTAATTGTACATTGCGAAATGTATGTCAAAGTAATCTCTACATTAAAAGTAACGTCTATTTTGAACATCAAACTCATTTGTCCCCATATTTTTCACATACTGAAGTGGGGAGCAATGTTTATGTAATCCATATGCCTGTTCAACTGATTACTCAGCCATTATTTACAACTAAAATATCACCTTAAATGCAGTAATGTATTATGGATATACAATTAATTTATTTCAAAACAACCATGTTTATTTAAAACATACCATACACAAAATATTGTACTCATGCGTAATTTGGGTTTCTCAGGCTGTGCCATTGTGTTATGGTGGAACTGGTAAAAGTGCTTAACAATGTACAATTCAGCACATCAATACACTCCAATACTTCCCCTTTCTTAAGAGGAGTTAATAAAAAAAAAAACAGTTTGAACAAACTCAAAACAACCTCTGGGGGAAGAATGCGTAAATTCACAAAGTTCCTCACACTTGAACCAAGATTCAATGATTTATTTTGTTTTCCTAGACAAGGACTTGACTATAAAATAAGAACGATCGAGGGAAACAGGCTTTCAGATAAGAAATGAAGAGCATATGATTGATAAGACATTGGAGGATATACATGGAATCCTGCTTTAAATTAAAATAATCTCCATCCCAAAAAGCAATCCACATAATGGGATGTGCTGGCTGGTATAGAAGGATTAACCCAGGGATATTATTTCAATCTCTTGTCATATACAGAAAGCATCTTAAAAGCAGTCTATTGTACACTTGTACAAAGGGCCAGTCTTAAATCAGTGGATTTGGTTTCAAGAAATCTAAACCAAATAAGTTAGATTTGATTTCAAGACATGAATGCTTACTGTGAACAAAGGCAGATGGGTTATCCACTAGAAAACTCAATGCCATTCAGACGTCTGACGTGTAATATTTTATTGACAGTCGGTCATCTAGTCTTCAAGAAAAAATGCTTCAAGAAAAAAATATGAATTAATAGTCAATACTCAATGTAGCATTATATTATTTTAAAAAATCAATATGATTTTGTCGTCCAACAGACTATATGCATGTGAACATTGACACTTCTGAGGGCTAGAGTAAGTAGTATTTGGTGTCTTGGAGAACTGTCTAAAATAAATTAATGTATGGTTCTTTAAACAACAAGTAATACAATGGAACATAATCTTATATATGAAAGTATAACTATAAGGTGCTGAAATACCAACAGCACACCATTATGAATTATGCAAAGGAAAATGTCAAAGAAAACACTTTCTGCATCTGTGAATAAAACAACATATTGGTGCAGCACAAAGATTCAAACACTTAAAAAAATGATGATTAAGGTACTATCCCTATATCAACCAAGCCACATCCCTTGGATAGTGAGTCTAAAAGACAAGAGAGAAATGATTCAGGTGGAGTCTAGTGGACCACGCAAGCACGTGTACACGCACACACATTTGAAAATGTACTGGATTTTTACCCTTGGTATAACAAAAAAATTATTCTGCATACTTCCACTTTTAACAGTTAAAGGAACTTGGTGAACAATGCTTAAAACTTGACCTAGTAATGATTATGATTGAGCTTTATTTATGTCCGCCAATAAGATCACAGATAATTCAACCCAGGAAGTCCTTTCCATGAGCTGAACAAACCAGGCCAGTAGCGTAGGTCGAACATTTGGTTTGATTCATCTAAGCAAAATTCTTTCACTAAGTAGTTTAAGCCTTAAAATGAATGAAAATCAATAGCTCAGAGAATAATGAACACTATAATAATACATGTTTTAACAAGGTTGATTTTTCATCATCTGCACATGAACATAATGACAAAAAAACAAAAACACTGCAATACATCCCTTTATTTAAAAAATGTGCTTTAGGATAGTTTGGGCTCGTCTGGTGCTGCTGTGTGGTAGTCGGTAGTGAGGAGCGAGATGGAAGGGTCCTCTTCAGGGTCCTGGTCCTGGGTGAAATACGAGTCCCCCTCCTGCTCCAGCAGAGTGGGGAGGTCCGCTCCGCCGTTCTCATTGGTCAATGGGTCAGTCAGTAGCATTGGCTGGGAGGTGTACTGGACCAGCTGCTTCCCTGCTTTAATCAACATAGAAAAACATGAGATTATGATCTCTGAAATATGTAAACACATGAGATTATGATCTCTGAAATATGAGAAAGAAGCATCATTAAATCTAATGACTGAGCATTGCATTATATAAAATCAAGGAAAGTTGGAATCACAGGGTTAAATTGACTATTGGAGAGGTCTTAACCCTCAACAGAGTGATACGCTTCTTCGAGTTAGTGTTGATAACTGGAGTTCATTGAGAGGGAGTATTTCTAACCCCATTAAGAGTAACCGGAGACAGCGAGAGATATCTATGGAGTATCCACAGCCCCTTTACACTTCTTTGGAGTACACTGCATGAAGTATTACATTTAAAGTGTTAATGTTTTTTCACTATGACATTTTAAGAGTTGATTCAACAGTGTTAATTTCCACAGTATGTAGTATGTATTATGTAGTATGAGTAGTATGTGCGGAGTATGATGGTTTTTAGGCAACCCGTCACATAGAAATGTGTTATACATCTGTCATTGTCATTGAAAGCAAGTCGGAAAAGCAGTAGACCATTTGCATGCTTCCGGTTCTTAAGTTAAGTTTTTCACATCCGAAGCTTTAAACAGCAGAAAATACAATATTTTGGGTTATTGAAAAGATACAGTATTTTACAGCAGTTTAAATGGTCCAATGTTGTGTCACAAACTTAAATTAGGCGAACGGTTTAGAATTTGGTGACCCTTTATTTGGATAATCATTCTGTAGATGCTCTACAGATGTTCATACTATCAACAAACTATCTGTTGATAAGCAACTGCTTGCTAAGGTTAGGGTTAGAATAAGAGTTAGAATAACAGTTAAGGTTAGGGCTAAATTTAAGGTTAGGATAAAGGTTAAGGTTAGGAGATAGTTTAAATGTTACGGATAGTCTGTAGAGCATCTACGGATGGACTATCCAAATAAAGTATTACCTACAATTTTAAGCAACCAGGAAATGTTGGGAGCGTTTTCTACATGTTGAAAGAAGTGACAGAGGCCTCATTATCATATTTCCCAGCATGCTTTGTTGCAGGTAGATTCTTTTGAATTGTTTGTTTCAATATCTTTGTTTTGTACGTTGGTCGTTATTGATCTTATGGTATACAAAGATAAAAAACATACATTTTTCTAAACTGACCCAATCTGTAAGTGATTGGATTTATTGCAACTGTTACTGAGATAGTTGTTCCCGTTTACATGATCTAAGCAGTCCTTTCAAATTACACCTTCCAGCCTGACTTTGACAGCCGGTTGTGGTTCATGTAAAGTTCCGATTGTTGGATGTCCTCCTTCTTGCTGGATTCCATAAGGAATTAGATGTCACGGTAATCGGTGGTAACCTTATCATTCATTCAAATAGCACAGTGGGAAATATGCAAATTAGGCTTTAGCCCCTACAGTGTTAAAAGTTAGTAAACTACTAAAGGGAAAATGTACTCCAACTAAGATGATTGAAATTCAAAACACAGAAAAATTCTAAAATGGCTTGGTAGCCAATTAAAAACACAGAAATGTGTAAAACCATAGTAGTTTTGACTAAATGGGGGTGGGACCATATAAACCCCAAAATGGTGTTGAATTTGACACATGGGAGTTGAATTAACTCTTGCAATTTTACTGTGTAGTAGTATCAGTACACGGTCACTCCCATAAAAAATTACATAAAAGTTAAATTAATATTTACAAATATGCTAATAAAAATGCAGTCAGCATGATATACTGTATATTAGGAGCTTTTACCTGTGTAGTTGTCACTTCTCTCAGCCCCTTTGGGTGGATCTGATGAAAGCAAGTCCTGGATCTATAAAAACAGAGGGGTCCACAGTGTGAGACACTTTCGCTTATTTTATGAACGAAACAAAAGGAAGTAAACAGCTAAATACACAATCCCCTTGCCCTGCTACGGCAGCAGGTCTACATATCCATACCCTTTCCACCCCATCTCCCAAAGACTACCCTCTGGCAAATGGTTCAGGTCAATCACGACCAAAACCTCCCACCACCTGAACAGGTTCTTCCCCCGTGCCGTGGCCCTTACCAACCAGCCACCTTGTCCACAATGATCTTTTCATTCATGGGCTATGTCCTGTTTACTATTCCTCCACGGACTATGCACCCTGCACTTTCATATAACTGCACAGAATTTACACAATCCACATTGTATTGTATGTACACAATGAACACCAAGCTATCCCGCACCTGTCCTTTGCACCAAGCACATCCCGCATCTGCCCTTTGCGCTCTGCCACGGACAGACCCGTACATATATATTTCCCCTATTGCACATCATCCTGTAAACTGTTTTATTTATACATCTATACATGCACAACTCAATGTAACTTATACAGTTTATAGTGTAGTCTGTAGTTTTTAGCTTGGTGTTCATTGTGTACATAGAATGTGGATTGTTTAAATTCTGTGTCTAGATCGTATCCGTATAATCTGTTTATTTTCTGTCTGTATATTCTGTTTATTGTTGGAGCACCATTTCACCAAGTCACATTTCTGTACATGCACACATATTTGCCAAATAAATGTGATTCTGATTCTGTCTAACTTACAAAGTCAAGGCTCTCCAGGTCGAATTCAGAGCCAGGCAGGGAAGAACTGAAGAACTGAAAGACAAGTAGTGGAAGAAAATGTTATCCACTGGCGTTGTTCAGCAGAATCATATCAATAATAACAAGACATTCACAAGGAATAACACAGTATACATTTAGTGTACAAAACACTAATTACACCTTCCTAATATTGAGTTGCGCATCCCCCCCACCTTTTGCCCTCAGAACAGCCTCAATTCGTCGGGGTATGGACTCTACAAAGTGTCGATAGCGTTCTACAGGGATGCTGGTCCATGTTGACTCCAATGATTCCCACATTTGTGTCAAGTTGGCTGGATGTCCTTTGGGTGGTGGACCATTCTTGATACACATGGGAAACTGTTGAGCGTGAAAAACCCAACAGCGTTGCAGTTCTTGACACACTCAAACCGGTGCGCCTGGCACCTACTACCATACCCCGTTCAAAGGCACTTACAGTTGAAGTCGGAAGTTAACATACACTTAGGTTGGAGTCATTAAAACTCGTTTTTCAACCACTCCACAAATTTCTTGTTAGCAAACTATAGTTTTGGCAAGTCGGTTAGGACATCTACTTTGTGCACAACACAAGTCATTTTTCAAACAATTGTTTACAGACAGATTATTTCACTTATAATTCACTGTATCACAATTCCAGTGGGTCAGAAGTTTACATACACTAAGTTGACTGTGCCTTTAAACAGCTTGGAAAATTCCAGAAAATGATGTCATGGGCTTTAGAAGCTTCTGATAGGCTAATTGACATCATTTGAGTCAATTGGAGGTGTACCTGTGGATGTATTTCAAGGCCTACCTTCTAACTCAGTGCCTCTTTGCTTGACATCATGGGAAAATCAAAAGAAATCAGCCAAGACCTCAGAAAAATTACTGTAGACCTCCACAAGTCTGGTTCATCCTTGGGAGCAATTTCCAAATGTCTGAAGGTACCACCTTCATCTGTACAAACAATGGTACGCAAGTATAAACACCATGGGACCACGCAGCCGTCATACCGCTCAGGAAGGAGACACGTTCTGTCTCCTAGAGATGAACGTACTTTGGTGCGTAAAGTGCAAATCAATCCCAGAACAACAGCAAAGGACCTTGTGAAGATGCTGGAGGAAACAGGTACAAAATAATCTATATCCACAGTAAAACGAGTCCTATATCGACATAATCTGAAAGTCCGCTCAGCAAGGAAGAAGCCACTGCTCCAAAACCGCCATAAAAAAGCCAGACTACGGTTTGCAACTGCACATTGAGACAAATATAGTACTTTTTGGAGAAATGTCCTCTGGTCTGATGAAACAAAAATAGAACTGTTTGGCCATAATGACCATTGTTGTGTTTGGAGGAAAAAGGGGGTTGCTTGCAAGCCGAAGAACACCATCCCAACCGTGAAGAATGGGGGTGGCAGCATCATGCTGTGGGGGTGCTTTGCTGCAGGAGGGACTGGTGCACTTCACAAAATAGATGGCATCATGAGGAGGGAAAATTATGTGGATATATTGAAGCAACATCTCAAGACATCAGTCAGGAAGTTAAAGCTTGGTCGCAAATGGGTCATCCAAATGGACAATGACCCCAAGCATACTTCCAAAGTTGTGGCAAAATGGTTTAAGGACAACAAAGTCAAGGTATTGGAGTGGCCATCACAAAGCCCTGACCTCAATCCTATAGAGCATTTGTGGGCAGAACTGAAAAAGCGTGTGCGAGCAAGGAGGCCTACATACCTGACTCAGTTACACCAGCTCTGTCAGGAGGAATGGGCCAAAATTCACCCAACTTATTGAGGGAAGCTTGTGGAAGGCTACCCAAGTTGACCCAAGTTAATCAATTTAAAGGCAATACTACCAAATACTAATTTAGTGTATGTAAACTTCTGACCAACTGGGAATGTGATGAAAGAAATAAAAGCTGAAATAAACCATTCTCTCTACTATTATTCTGACATTTCACATTCTTAAAATAAAGTGGTGATCCTAACTGACCCTAAGACAGGGAATTTTTACTAGGATTAAATGTCAGGAATTGTGAAAAACTGAGTTTAAATTGTATTTATTTTACTTTATTTCCCCTTTATTTAACCAGGTAAGCCAGTTGAGAACAAGTTCTCATTTACAACTGCGACCTGGCCAAGATAAAGCAAAGCAGTGCGATAAAAACAACAACACAGAGTTACATATGGGGTAAAACAAAACATAAAGTCAAAAATACAACATAAAATATATATACAGAGTGTGCAACTGTAGCAAGTTATGGAGGTAAGGCAATAAATAGGCTATAGTGCAAAATAATTACAAGTAGTATTAACACTGGAATGATAGATGTGCAAGAGATGTGCAAATAGAGATACTGGGGTGAAAATGAGCAAAATAAATAACAATATGGGGATGAGGTAGTTGGGTGGGCTAATTTCAGATGGGCTGTGTACAGGTGCAGTGATCGGTAAGGTGCTCTGACAACTGATGCTTAAAGTTAGTGAGGGAGATAAGAGTCTCCAGCTTCAGAGATTTTTGCAATTCGTTTCAGTCATTGGCAGCAGAGAACTGGAAGGAATGGCGGCCAAAGGAGGTGTTGGCTTTGGGGATGACCAGTGAGATATACCTGCTGGAGCGCATACTACGGGTGGGTGTTGCTATGGTGACCAATGAGCTAAGATAAGGCAGGGATTTGCCTAGCAGTGATTTATAGATGGCCTGGAGCCAGCGGGTTTGGCGACGAATACGAATATGTAGTGAGGACCAGCCAACAAGAGCGTACAGGTCACAGTGGTGGGTAGTATATGGGGCTTTGGTGACAAAACAGATGGCACTGTGATAGACTACATCCAATTTGCTGAGTAGTGTTGGAGGCTATTTTGTAAATGACATCGCCGAAGTCAAGGATCTGTAGGATAGTCAGTTTTACGAGGGCATGTTTGGCAGCATGAGTGAAGGAGGCTTAGTTGCGAAATAGGAAGCCGATTCTAGATTTAACTTTGGATTGGAGATGCTTAATATGAGTTTGGAAGGAGAGTTTACGGTCTAACCAGACACCTAGGTATTTGTAGTTGTCCACATACTCTAGGTCAGACTCGTCGAGAGTAGTGATTCTAGTCGGGTGGGCGGTTGAAGAGCATGCATTTAGTTTTACTAGTGTTTAAGAGCAGTTGGAGGCTACTGAAAGAGTGTTGTATGGCATTGAAGCTCGTTTGGAGGTTTGTTAACACAGTGGCTAATGAAGGGCCAGATGTATACAAAATGGTGTCGTCTGCGTAGAGGTGGATCTGAGAGTCACCAGCAGCAAGAGCGACATCATTGATATACACGGAGAAAAGAGTCGGCCCAAAAATTGAACCCTGTGGCACCCCCATCTGGCCATAGGTCCAGACAACAGGCCCTCCAATTTGACACATTGAACTCTATCTGAGAAGTACGAGTGGCGCAGTGGTCTAAGGCGCTGCATCGCAGTGCTAGCTGTGCCACTAGAGATCCTGGTTCGAATCCAGGCTCTGTCGTAGCCGGCCGTGACCGGGAGACCCATGGGGTGGCGCACAATTGGCACAGCGTCGTCCAGGGTAAGGGAGGGAATGGCCGGCAGGGATGTAGCTCAGTTGGTAGAGCATGGTGTTTGCAACGCCAGGGTTGTGGGTTTGATTCCCAGGGGGGGGCCAGTATGAAAAAATAAAAATAATGTATGCACTCAATAATGTAAGTCGCTCTGGATAAGAGCGTCTGCTAAATGACGTAAATGTAAATGTAAAAGTAGTTGGTGAACCAGGCGAGGCAGTCATTTGAGAAACCAAGGCTATTTAGTCTGCCAATAAGAATGCGGTGGTTGACAGAGTCGAAAGCCTTGGCCAGGTCGATGAAGAGGGCTTCACAGTACTGTCTATTATCGGTCGCGGTTATAATATCGTTTAGGACCTTGAGCATGGCTGAGGTGCACCCATGACCAGCTCGGAAACCGGATTGCATAGCGGAGAAGGTACGGTGGGATTCGAAATGGTCGGTGATCTGTTTGTTAACTTGGCTTTCAAAAACTTTCGAAAGGCAGGGCAGGATGGATATAGGTCTGTAACAGTTTGGATCTAGAGTGTCACCCCCTTTGAAGAGGGGGATGACCGCGGCAGCTTTCCAATCTCTGGGGATCTCAGACGTTACGAAAGAGAGGTTGAACAGGCGAGTAATAGGGGTTGCGACAATTTCGGCGGCTAGTTTTAGAAAGAAAGGGTCCAGATTGTCTAGCCCAGATGATTTGTAGGGGTCCAGATTTTTCAGCTCTTTCAGAACATCAGCTGTCTGAATTTGTGTGAAGGAGAAGCGGGGGGGTGCAGAGCTGGTGGCCGGGGTAGTGGTATCCAGGTGGAAAGCATGGCCAGCCGTAGCAAAATGCTTGTTGAAATTCTCGATTATTGTAGATTTATCGGTGGTGATAGTGTTTCCTAGCCTCAGTGCAGTGGGCAGCTGGGAGTAGGTGCTCTTATTCTCCATGGACTTTACAGTGTCCCAAAACTTTTTGGAGTTAGTGCTACAGGATGCACATTTCTGTTTGAAAAAGCTAGCCTTTGCTTTCCTAACTGATTGTGTATATTGGTTCCTGACTTCCCTGAAAAGTTGCATATCGCGGGAGCTATTTGATGCTAATGCAGTACGCCACAGGATGTTTTTGTGCTGGTCAAGGGCAGTCAAGTCTGAGGAGAACCAGGGGCTATATCGGTTCTTAGTTCTGTATTTTTTGAATAGGGCATGTTTATTTAAGATTGAGAGGAAATTACTTTTAAAGAACAACCAGGCATCCTCTACTGACGGAATGAGATCTATATCCATCCAGGATACCTGGGCCAGGTCAATTAGGAAGGCCTGCTCGCTAAAGTGTTTTAGGGAGCGTTTGACAGTGATGAGGGGTGGTCGTTTGACCGCGGACCCGTTACGGACGCAGGCAATAAGGCAGTGATCGCTGAGATCCTGGTTGAAGACAGCGGAGGTGTATTTAGAGGGTAAGTTAGTCAGGATGATATCTATGAGGGTACCCATGTTTACGGATTTAGGGTTGTACCTGGTAGGTTCGTTGAAAATTTGTGTGAGATTGAGGGCATCTAGTTTGGATTGTAGGATGGCCGGGGTGTTAAGCATATCCCAATTTAGGTCACCAAGCAGTACGAACTCTGAGGATAAATGGGGGGGCAATCAATTCACATATGGTATCCAGGGCACAGCTGGGGGCTGTGTATTTGGCTAAGGTGTATGTAAACTTCCGACTTCAACTGTACATCTATTGTCTTGCCCATTCACCATCTGAATGGTACACATACACAATCCATATCTCAATTGTCTCAAGGCTTAAAAATCCTTCTTTAACCTGTCTCCTCCCCTTCATCTACACTGATTGAAGTGGATTTAACAAGTGACATCAATAAGAGATCACAGCTTTCACCTGGATTCACCTGGTCAGTCTATGTCAGAGAAACATCCTAATGTTTTGTAAAACCAGTGTACACAAACCATAAACTTTTTTTAGTTTCATTTTTCCATCTGTGTAGTCACGGTCACCTCACAAAAAACAAAGCCACAGTCCCTTTAAAACACACCCTGTCACCTAGAAATGCAGTGACAAACCTCACTGCACATTCTTATTTGACCAGTCAGTGTCCCACACAGCAAATGCTGGTTGTTGGGACAGAAAAACATAGCCTGAAGTCAATCTGTCACAAATAGATCTGGGATCAGGCTATGAATAAGGCACAACTTACTTCAAAGAGGGGTGAGGACTCGAAATTGATGGACTGCGCGTTTAGGATAGTCTGGAGGTTTTCCAGGCCATTGTCGATGCTGTCCAAATGGTCACTCAGCTCACTCCTACACCAAAAAAACAAAACATGGTTCATATTTATACGTCTCTGAAGATCTGCCTGACTAAACACACGCATTAAAGCAAATGAGCCGTTTAAAACGAATGGTAGTAAAATCACCCAACACAACTCATTTGATATGAGCAACAGAAGCTATTGGAACAGCGCAGAGTGGGCCACACAATCACCGAGTTGTGAGCCTAATCCCCAGAACCTGGAATAGTCTGCCTTTCGCCTACAGTTCACTGGGCCTGCCACATTAAAACCCACTCACAGAATGATTGACCTTTGACCTAAATGGAGGGTAGCCTTCAGGGTTGAGCGGTATGCAGTTAGATAAACATTTGGACAAAACATGCAGAATCAGCTGTTTTTTCAAGCCTGTGTGTGTTCAAAACATTATCAATAATCAACAATTATGCTCTCAGTTGGTGCCAAATACTGAGAACTATCAAATACTGAGAAGCACTATCCTTTTGTAGACCAAGAGTACAGGTTGTCACATCCACGGATAGGGTAAATTATACGCAATAATGACTGATTTAATATATTTACTCAATATAGACACACAAATCACTTTGTTCATTTCTCTGATTACACACGGGCTTGACAGTTAGTTTTCTGGGCTTGTTGCTGGTGGCAATGTCAGGTACAGGCAGCAGCGTCAATCAAGAGTTCTGGGGGGAGGACAACACAACAGGGTTTGTGGGCCAACTGAAATGCTAACCCTGGGTGAGGTCTGAGGTGTAGAGATGAGGAGGGGCTGGGGAAGAGGCGAGAGACCTCTGACATCTGTGTAGAACTGAAAAGATAGAAGCACAACAGCTGGAGAGAGAGGAGATCAGAGCACTACTACACACTGCACCCCATAGGTCGATTACAGCCCAGGGATGGGGATCACATGGGCTACTCTGCTTCTCATTGGCTGAAAATAAGAATAAGGGCAGAGAGGAAGAGGCGAAGCAAGAGGTTTCCACTCTTGCCAAAATCTGTCCAAAATAAGCTCAATGTGTTTCTATGGGCTTATTTTGGACCTAGGTTTGACGACGACTCCCATTGTTAGGGCGGAGACATGAGCATCTCGTCATTATATACAGATCTCTGATAAGGGGCATCGGGACCACAGGAAGAGGGACGTTGACTGGCTGCTGGTTTAAAAAGGAATTAAGCCACAACATACAGTGCCTTCAGAAAGTATTTACACTCCTTTACTTTTTCAAAATGTTGTTGTTACAGCCTGAATTTAAAATTGATTACATTTAGATTTTGTGTCACTGATCTTCACAAAATACCCCATAATGTCAAAGTGGAATTTTGTTTGTAGAACGTTTACAAAATTAATTAAAAAATGAAAAGCTGAAAAGTATTCAACCCCTTTGTTATGGCAAGCCTAAATAAGTTCAGGAGTAAAAATGTGCTTAAGAAATCACACAATATGTTGCATGGACTCATTATGTGTTCAATCATAGTGGTTAAGATCATTTTTGAATGACTACCTCATCTCTGTACCCCACACTGTAAGGTCCCTCAATCGAGCAGTTCATTTCAAACACAGATTCAACCAAAAAGACCAGGGAGTTTTTTTTCAAAGCCTCGCAAAGAAGGGCACTGATTGGTAGATGTGTAAACACACTGAATATCCCTTTGAGCATGGTGAAGTTCTTAATTAGGCTTTGGTAGGTGTATCAATACACCCAGTCACTACAAAGATACCGGCGTCCTTCCTAATTTAGTTGACGGAGAGGAAGGAAACTGCTCAGGGATTTCACCATGAGGCCAATGGTGATTTTAAAACATCTAGAGTTTGATGGTTGTGATGAGAAATGGATCAACAACATTGTAGTTACGCCACAATACTAACCTAAATGACAGAGTGAAAAGAAGGAAGCCTGTACAGAATACAAATATTCCAAAACATGCATCCTGTTTGCAACAAGGCACTTAAGTAATACTGCAAATAATGTGGCAAAGAAATGAACTTTATGTCCTGAATACAAAGCTTTATGTTTGTGAAAAACCCAACACATCACTGAGTACCACTCTTCATATTTTCAAGCATTCTGGTACCTGCATCATGCTATGGGTATGCTTGTCATCGGCAAGGATTATGGAGTTTTTTTTTGGATAAAAAGAAATGGAATACAGCTAAGCACAGGCAACATCCTAGAGGAAAACCTGGTTCAGTCTGATTTCCAACAGACACTGGGAGACAAGTTCACTTTTCTGCACGACAACCTAAAACACAAGGCCAAATATACACAGGAGTTACTTAACAAGACAACATTGAATGTTCCCGAGTGGCCTAGTTACAGTTCTGACAAAAATTGCCTTAAAATCTATGGCAAGACTTAAAAATAGCTTTCTAGCAATGATCAACAACCAATTTGACAGTGCTTGAAGAATTCAAAAAATAATAATGGGCAAATATTGTACAATCCAGGTGTGGAAAGCTCTTAAAGACTTACCTAAAAATACTCACAGCTTTAAATCGCTGCCAAAGGTGATTCTAACATGTTTTTTCTCAGGGGGGTGTATACTTTTCTAATCAAGCTATATTAGTGTTTTATTTTTCATTAATCTTCAATAAATGTTTGAATTTTTTCTTCCACTTTGACAAGAGTATTTTGTGTAGATCGTTGACAATTAAATCAATTTTAATCCCCCTTTGTAACACAACAAAATATGGAAAAAGTAAAGGGGTGTGAATACTTTCTGAAGGCACTATATGTAACGTACAGTCTAGGTTCCATATATTCTATCAGAGTAAGATTTCTAGAAAATAAATACATTTAACTAATCTCAACAGTGACACAGAAGTCAATGACTGAGACAACATCAAGAAAGGAAAAAATAAAAATATGTAAAAAAAAATTGAAAACTGCATTTCTCTGTCTGATGTATTGCAAGCCCATAAATCTATTTCAATAAATCTATGCATCTGAAGTACAGTAGATTAAGATTTACAGTATGCATTAGTTTGATTAAATGGCAAGTAACTTTTTATGTACAGTTAGTAGCAACAGCCAGGATCCTAAAACTAAAAAGCCAAGATGAAATGCAACAAATCAACAGAACTATGTCTAAAACGCCAACGAATCCATGTTCGGTTTAAAATAATTAGCCTTTGAAGTGTATACTTAGCAAAACTAGAGACAGGCCAGTGGGTTGTTTATGTAGAGCCTGTTGAATGATGGTGCGTATTAAACTAGCATAAAGCGCTAACGGCTGTCTTAACTGTACATCAGTGGATGAGCTGCTTTGAAATCACTAGCACATCCTCTTGATGCAATGTGACGTGATACACACAGAGATGGTGGAGTATGGGGAGAAGCATAGGGCAATAGGCTAGCTGTAGACATCTACTGACATAGGACGACTGATTATCAACGCAATGAAAGGCTTGTGTGATGCAAGTGGATCTTAAGCTATGGAAACACTGTGATGATGAACAGTGAAAAGCAGTGGGTGGCCTTCATATCGCTTGCTGTCGCCGCGGTGTGTTATAGCCACTTAGATTTACAAGGAATCCTTTAAGGAGACGTGAACAAATGAACACTTGAGTGTAGAAGGGGAGAATTAGGCTCATATCTGTTGACCTGTGCTAGGTGGGAGGGTCTGAGGGACAGACTGGCAGCGGGACGTCATCTGGGGATCACTCACTTGTCTAGACAGGCGAGGCTGAGACACTTCTGCTCCGTAGGGGTCGCTGGGGCGGGGGGTGCGTTAGGCTCATTGCTCTCCTGCAGGATGGAGTTGATGAAGGTGATGGGGGACAGGGGCGTGTCTACCTGGACTCCTGCCCCCCCGATTACAGCCTCGGCCGGACACACCTCCTCCAACACAGGACTGGACGGCTCCTCCTTTATGTGAACCAATGGGCTCGTGCTGAAGACAGGAAGAGAAATGGGGTCATTTTGTTAATTCATGGATAGTTGGTATGGGGTCAGGAGTTGTTCCTGAATCCTGACCACCTGACTTGCCTAGGAAAAACCTTAGTTGAGGTTTCCCCAACTGGCGACCCGCGGGTGATTTTTTGACCAAATCAGCTCAAAGTGATTTTAATTTTGGAAATCGGTTCCAAAGTATTCCCACGGAAAATAGAGAGATATGACTTCTTCTTGCTGTCAATTTACAGTCTTCAAATTATTTGTAATTATGTTTCTGCCCCCTGACCATCCGCTCAAGAGAAAATCTAGTTGATGATGCCTTAGTTGCTAGAGGATTTCTTGGTCAGGTCATGTGGTCAGGAAAGAAAAGTAGATTTTTTAAATAAAAAAACAAAACACATTTAACAGTTGAAACCTAACCTTTCCTCTATCCACTCATTGGTGACCTCCACAGGGCTGGCCTGTGCCAGGTCGGTGACGTCAGAGATTATGGGGCCGTTGTTAAGAGACGGCTCCGCCGTGAAGAGACCGGTACTGGTGAATGGTGCGCCCGAGGCCTGGGAAGATGACACACATTCACATGCATACTAAAGCTGCCCTGACATCCTAACAAGATCATTTTTTTGTTTGTACTTTTACCCCTTTTTTCTCCCCAATTTCGTGATATCAAATTGGTAGTTACAGTCTTGTCCCATCGCTGCAACTCCCATACGGGAGAGGCGAAGGTCGAGAGCCATGCGTCCTCCGAAACACGACCCTGCCAAGCCACACTGCTTCTTGACACACTGCTCGCTTAACCCAGAAGCCAGCCACACCAATGTGTCGGAGGAAACACCGTACAGCTGGCGACCGAAGTCAGCGTGCATGCGCCCGGCCCGCCCACAAGGAGTCGCTAGAGCGCGATGGGACAAGGACATCCTGGCCGGCCAAACCCTCCCCTAACCCGTACGACGCTGGGCCAATTGTGCGCCGCCTCATGAGTCTCCCGGTCATGGCCTGGGATCGAACACGGGTCTGTATATACGCCTCTAGCACTGCGATGCAGTGCCTTAGACCGCTGCACCACTCGGGAGGCCCTCTAACAAGATCAGTTGCGTAACACAGGCTCAATAACATTACACCTTTCTTAGTGGCGCTCCAGCGACCACACCTCTGAATATACTAGCTAACCTCTGTCTGGTTAAGAGACCAATAAACTTAAAAAGTGTCCTCATGTCTGAGATATGAATTAGCCATCTGTGATAATATTGATGAAGTCTTTTCTGGAGAATGTCACATTTCTGTGCACTTACCTCACTAGCCTACATCAAAACATGCCTTACAAATCAAGTTGTCCATATCATAACTCAATTGTAAAGTACAGCTGTAAGCAATAACATCAACTGTGAATTCACTCAGCCTGAGTTCCACTTCTACCACAGGGAGGTGCCAAGCTTGGCTAGGTTCCCGGTGATGCTGAACTCACAGAGATAGCAGGCGAGCCCTGCAGCGAGGCCTGAAGGTGTTCCAGAGAGTACTGCCTGCTGAACTTGGGCAAGGAGTGGGTGGAGCTGCTGTCATTCAGCATCAGGGGACTTTAGTAGTTCCATAGAGAGGAGACAGAAGACGAGTCAAACACACACAACCCTTTACTGGTTCACTATTTGATTGAATGTGCGGTAGCTATCCAAAATACTTGCATCTTTCTCTTCATCCCCAGGACTCTGTTGGACTGCACCAGGGTCACTAGGAACTGGATGAGCTGTGGGAGACAGACACAGTTAGCAGTAGAGCAGGACAATATTGGCAAATTTCAACATAAATTGACTGAATTACCACGATAACAATAAATAGAACTATAAATGTATAACATTAATGTGCACCGTTAGCCTACCTTTGCATATTGCCGTACATCTACTAATACTTTGAATGCTTTAACTATCAATTGAACCGTTAGCAATAGCCCATATTATCAGACTTATTTAATTAAAAAATTCAAATTTCTGTAGTATACATTTCTCTAGCTACTTATTATCGATATCAGTTAAATGTCCTCGATAAATGGTTGGTATGGTCTGTGTCAATGTTCGGTTTATCGTCCCAGCTCAAGTTAGCAGGAGATGATTGGCTGATTTATTAGACAATTAAAATTATACATATACACCCAGACACCAATGCAATGTCATCACAGGGTTTTTTTCTGGATCAAAAAGGTGGGGCAATTTTTTTCTGACCCCCCATCTTGGAGGTTTAGAGAAGTTTTTGCCATTTTTAAGCCAACTTCCTGCAATTCTACAAATTTCTCCATGAGGCTGAGAGAAATCTTTGTAGTTTTAAAGCGAATTTCCTGCAATTCTATGCATTTTGCCATGGCTAATGCTGTGGTCTTTTGCTCAAACATAATTTCAAATTCATTGTTTAAAAAATTCCAAATTCTCCTTGACAGTCTAGCTTTTATTTTGGTGATTGTATGTTCTCAAAGATGATATTATCAAAAAATATATAGCTCCATTATCATTTCTACATACTTTATATACATATACAGTACCAGTAAAAGTTTGGACACACCTACTCATTCCAGAGTTTCTTATCGTAGAATAATAGTGAAGACATCAAAACTATGAAATAACACATATGGAATCATGTAGTAACCAAAAAAGTGTTAAACTCAATCACTCTTTGAGATTCTTCAAATAGCCACCCTTTGCCTTGACGACAGCTTTGCCACTCTTGGCATTCTCTCAACCAGCTTCATGAGGTAGTCATTTGGAATGCATTTCAATTAACAGGTGTGCCTTCTTTTCCAACAGTCTTGAAGGAGTTCCCACATATGCTTAGCACTTGTTGGCTGCTTTTCCTTCACTCTGCGGTCTGACTCATCCCAAAACATCTGAATTTGGTTGAGGTCAGGGGATTGCGGAGGCCAGGTCATCTGATGCAGCACTCCATCACTCTCCTTCTTGGTAAAATAGCCCTTACACAGCCTGGAGGTGTGTTGGGTCATTGTCCTGTTGAAAAACAAATGATAGTCCCACTAAGAGCAAACCAGATGGGATGGCGTATTGCTGCAAAATGCTGTGGTAGTCATGCTGATTAAGTGTGCCTTGAATTCTAAATAAATCACAGACAGTGTCACCAGCAAAGCCCCCCACATCATAACACCTCCTCCTCCATGCTTTACGGTGGGAATTTGGACTCCAGACCAAAGGTCTAACGTCAATTGCTCGTGTTTCATGGCCCAAGCAGGTCTCGTCTTATTGGTGTCCTTTAGTAGTGGTTTCTTTGCAGCAATTCGACCATGAAGGCCTGATTCCCTCTGAACAGTTGATGTTGAGATGTGTCTGTGACTTGAACTCTGTGAAGCATTTATTTGGGCTGCAATTTCTGAGGCTGGTAACTCTAATGAACTTATCCTCTGCAGCAGAGGTAACTCTTGGTCTTCCATTTCTGTGGCGGTCCTCATGAGAGCCAGTTTCGTCATTTCGCTTGAAGGTTTTTGCGACTGCACTTGAAGAAACTTTCAAAGTTCTTGAAATGTTCCGTATTGACTGACCTTCATGTCTTAAAGTAATGGACAGTCATTTCTCTTTGCTTATTTGAGCTGTTCTTGCCATAAATAGGGCTATCTGAAGAATCTCAAATATAAAATATATTCTGATTTGTTTAACACTTTTTTGGTTACTACATATGTGTTATTTCATAGTTTTGATGTCTTCACTATTATTCTACAATGTAGAAAATAGTAAAAATAAAGAAAAACCCTTGAATGAGTAGGTGTGTCCAAACTCTTGAATGGTAGTGTGTATATATATATATTTCTTCTTCACTGTTTGGAGGTTATAACAGACTTTATATGGTCAAATAAAATGTATAGAATAAAAGGAAAGACTTCCTGAGTCTGACGGTGGTTTTAGCAGATTTGGAATTGTATCAACTCGCTACCCAAGGCATGTAGTTAAACGCACTAAAGAGGAACAATGGGTACATATTGAAGATGCGGATGCTCATCCCAATAATATTGTTACGTGTCTATTTTCAAAGGATAAAGCTAAGAACATTAACAACTTCATAGTTAAAACACCTATAACAATATAGACGAAAATGAAATGTATTCTACAAGAACCAATATCACTTACTAAAAACACAACCTTATGGAACAATCCTTGGATAGCTTTTCAGAATTCAGCAATAAATTGTTCTACATGGAAAACTACAGTGCCTTACAAAAGTATTCATCACCCGTGGCGTTTTTCCTATTTTGTTGAATTACAACCTGTAATTTAAATCGATTTTTATTTGGATTTCATGTAATGGACATAAACAAAATAGTCCAAATTGGTGAACCTGAAATTAAAAAAATTAATAACTAAAAGTGGTTCGTGCATATGTATTCACCCCCTTTGCTATGTCTGGTGCAAACCCAACACCTCTCATCACTCCGAGAACACCATCCCCACAGTGAAGCATGGTGGTGGCAGCATCATGCTGTGGAGATGTTTATCATCAGCAGGGACTGGGAAACTGGTCAGAATTGAAGGAATGATGGATGGTGCTAAATACAGGGAAATTCTTGAGGGAAACCTCTTTCAGTCTTCCAGAGATTTGAGACTGGGACGGAGGTTCACCTTCCAGCAGGACAATGACCCTAAGCATACTGCTAAAGCAACACTTGAGTGGTTTAAGGGGAAACATTTAAATGTCTTGGAATGGCCTAGTCAAAGCCCAGAGATTTTTACAATTGAGAATCTGTGCTATGACTTAAAGATTGCTGTACACCAGCGGAACCCATCCAACTTGAAGGAGCTGGAGCAGTTCTGCCTTAAAGAATGGGCAAAAATCACAGTGGCTAGATGTGCCAAGCTTATAGAGACATACCCCGAAAGACTTTCAGCTGTAATTGCTGAAAAAGGTGGGGGGGTGAATAGTTATGCATGCTCAAGTTCTTGTTTTTTTTGTCTTATTTCTTGTTCGTTTAACAAAAAAACAAAAAAAATTGCATCTTCAAAGTGGTAGGCATGCTGTGTAAATCAAATGATACAAACCCCCCAAAAATCCATTTTAATTCCAGATTGTAAGGCAACAAAATAGGAAAAAAGCCAAAAGTGGTGAATACTTTCGCAAGCCACTGTAAAGGCATAGAAACTGTAAATGACTTGGTAAGAGGAAATACATTTATTTCCATGTCAGAATTCAAAAGGGACTGACCAATGTTGATTGTTTCAAATACATGCAACATAAAAGTTACATATCACAACATTTCGATTAGAAATGTTTTGGACATCAGAGCAACCTTGAGGGAATCTTATTTGACTCAATAATCCATGCTCTCTGGGAATGCTATAATGTCCGGAAGTTGTGGGACGGAGCTAGAAAGTTGGCTGTCAAAAGTATTACAATGTAAACTTACTTTTAATCCGTCTGTCTGCATATTTCAAGACATGGCATATGGGGGTGTAGTGAGATACCCGATGGGTTGAACGATTCTCTTCTTATCACTCATCTTGAAAAAACGTATACTAAAAACGTGGAAATCAATCAATCCGCCATCATTAACACAATGGAAAAATCGAATGATTTATTATTTCAATATTTAAAGTGCGTAGGCTACGGAACAAAAAAAAAGGTGCAGTTTCAGGCCATGTGGCGGAAAGTGATGCTGGCGCTGGAGATGTTTGGGGGGTGTGCTAGTGGGTCTGGGCAGGTGTGATGTAGTTGATGTTTCTATGATGTTATCGTTTGTATGTGTATGTTTTGTATCGTTTATAAAATATAAAAATAAAAAGGAAATAAATGCTTAGGTGGCCCGCCTAAGGATTTCAATGGCAGAAAAATCCCTGCAGTACACACATTCTAAATCATTGACGATGACATACAAAAAAGTCTAGGACACATTCCAAGTGTTTTAATATATAAACTAAGCAAAAAAAAGAAACGTCCCTTTTTCAGAACCCTGTCTTTCAAATATAATTTGTAAAAATCCAAATAACTTCACAAATCTTCATTGTTTCCCATGCTTGTTCAATGAACCATAAGCAATTAATGAACATGCACCTGTGGAACGGTCGTTAAGACACTAACAGCTTACAGACGGCAGGCAATTAAGGTCACATTTATGCAAACTTAGGACACTATATAGGCCTTTCTACTGACTCTGAAAAACACCAAAAGACAGATGCCCAGGGTCCCTGCTCATATGCGTGAATGTGCCTCAGGCATGCTGCAAGGAGGCATAAGGACTGTAGATGTGGCCAGGGCAATACATTGCAATGTCCATACTGTGAGACGCCTAACACAGCGCTAAAGGGAGACAGGACGGACAACTGACCGTCCTCGCAGTGGCAGACCAAGTGTAACAACACCTGCACAGGATCGGTACATCCTTGGTGGAAGAGTGGGGTAACATTTCACAGCAAGGACTGGCAAATCTGGTGCAGTCCATGAGGAGGAGATGCACTGCAGTACTTAATGCAGCTGGTGGCCACACCAGATACTGACTGTTACTTTTGATTTTGAACCCCCCTTTGTTCAGGGACACATTATTCAATTTCTATTAGTCACATGTCTGTGGAACTTGTTCAGTTTGTCTCAGTTGTTGAATCTTGTTATGTTCATACAAATATTTACATGTTAAGTTTGCTGAAAATAAACGCAGTTGACAGTGAGAGGACGTTTCTTTTTTTGCTGAGTATATATGCCATTTAGCAGACGCTTTTATCCAAAGCGACTTGCAGTCATGCGTACATACATTTTAAGTATGGGTGGAATCGAACCCACTACCCTAGCGTTACAAGCGCCATGCTTTACCAACTGAGCTACAAAGGTCCACGTGTTATCACATGAATTACTATGTTTCCATAGCATAGAAGAGCCAACCACATGTTCTGCGTGGTCAGAGCAGTGGCAGGTACCGTGACTGTCTTTTACCTTGTTGACGACTTTCTGTTGCTGGGCGTGTTTCTGTCTGAGGCTGGCCACCTCCCTCCACAGAGCTTCATTCTCACTGGAAAGACAAAGGGGATACTCATTTACAGATCAGTTATTCATTATTTTAAATTGAATGCCACAAATAGCTAATATATTTTACATTTTAGTCATTTAGCAGACGCTCTTATCCAGAGCAACTTACAGTAGTGAGTGCATACATTTTCATACTTTTTTCGTACTAGTCCCCCATGGGAATCGAACCTTGGCGTTGCAAGCGTCATGCTCTACCAACTGAGTCACAAAGGACCACATATACAACTGATGCCCAAGTTGGCCAACTAATCATTTGCCTTCCATTCCCAAACCCATGACATCCTCTTTGGGTAATGTCATGGACGCTTGCTACAATGACCTCAGTCCTTGACATTGTGATGTTGTTTCATACATCATTTAAATAGCCTAATAACCAGATGCAACGCATGTTTGAAATAAATCAAAGAATGACTAATCAATCTCAGAACAGTACATCATCCCTAACTGACCTAAAACTCCACAGTACATGTAGCCAAGATGGGGGAAGGGCAGGAGGGCAAGGGCTTAGACCCTCATCTTTAAGAGCCCCCCATACTGTGGCACGCCTAACGAGGCACAGCATATTTTTTACTGTACTGGTAAAGATTTGAGGAATACTTGAGGCCGTTTATTTTGCTAAGTTAATGGCTATTGAAAGATCTTAGCGCGCTGTGTTTATTCAGCTTTTTTAGTGCGGTCTATAAAGACCCTGCCCCTCCACCTGGCTCTTAAAGCCTGGCTCCCCAGACTATGGTAAAGATGCTTTGTGGGTGTGCTCATGGGCCTGATTCATCCATTGTCCATACACATGGCTTACATTAAATTACATGCCTTGGACTCTGACAAAACCTGGTCCCAGATATGTTTGTGCTGTCCTGCAATCTCCTATGGTCTCTGTCCCACTGGAGTTGATAAGACAGAGCAAACAGTTCTGGAACCAGGCTAGACAACACCTTGATGAATTATGTCAGATTTATTATTCTGACTCCATCACAAGATGAAGATTTCAGAATCACCTTTAGCTTCGAAGTACATTGAAATGTACCAGGAATGACCTGGTGAAATGGTGCTGCCAAAATAAACAGAATATAAATGTATATATTTCAGGGTTTGATTAGCATTTTAGACTTATGTCTTGATTTAGGTGACTCTCAAAAAGTGCAAATTAAACTATCATAATTTGATCACTCTGCCACAGGAAATTCAAATGGGCCTTGTGATTTACATAAATTCACTGAACCCCCGCAGTTCTCCTCTCTCGATCAAACGCTAAAGCACCAGACAGAATAAATGTCCTACTACATTCAAAAATGTATCTAAATTGCTGCCATACATCAACAACTGTCGTTTTATATAGATGAAAGGGTAGGTAGCATAAACGTAACCACATGTAATATGTGGATTTGCATTAGATTAAGCATCAAAAGTCCCAATGCAAAGTTACACCTAACTTGTCTATTTTTCTAGTTATTACATAAAACTGATCAGAATTACGAAGAATGCCGGAAAAAACATTTACTTGGTGTGACGTAATATGGAGGAACCGGCAAGCCATTCCCTCCAATGTCAACTCCAACAGAAATAATTTAAAATGTATAACTTCAAATTAAACTGAATCAAATGCACTCATAAGTACTGGTTTAAATTACATTTTCAGCTAATTTACAAGCAAATACTTTATGAATTGATTGTTAAAAATCAGATTGCAAGGTTGCTAGCCAACTAGCCTGCTAACTTTACGTTAGCACTGCGTGAGTCAGCCAGTTGCTATCAACACCTAGGTTACAGCTACATTAAAGTAAACCACAGTTTTGGAAATACATAACAACAGCTAACCAGTTATCAAATAATGTTACCGGTATATGCAGTTCCCTTAGCCAATCTGCTCGCTTCAACCAACAAGTTTTTTAGCATTAATCAGTATGGTTTCTTCTTTGTGAATGTATATAGTAGCTCACCAGCACCAACACTTGGTTTGGAATGCAATTACATGCTAGCATGGCTAGTAGCTAACGTTAGCCAGCTGGAACTAGCTAGGTAGCACCAGTTCGCCATATGACGTTGAGAAATAGTGCATTGTGGGTCGTTCCGAAGATATCCGGAAATAAGTTAGTAAATACAGGGAAATAAGTATTTGATCCCCTGCTGATTTTGTATGTTTGCCCACTGACAAAGAAATGATCAGTCTATAATTTTAATGGTAGGTTTATTTGAACAGTGAGAGACAGAATAACAACAAAAAAATCCAGAAAAACGCATGTCCAAAATGTTATAAATTGATTTGAATTTTAATGAGGGAAATAAGTATTTGACCCCCTCTCAATCAGAAAGATTTCTGGCTCCCAGGTGTCTTTTATACAGGTAACGAGCTGAGATTAGGAGCACACTCTTAAAGGGAGTGCTCTTAATCTCAGTTTGTTACCTGTATAAAAGACACCTGTCCACAGAAGCAATCAATCAATCAGATTCCAAACACTCCACCATGGCCAAGACCAAAGAGCTCTACAAGGATGTCAGGGACAAGATTGTAGACCTACACAAGGCTGGAATGGGCTACAAGACCATCGCGAAGCAGCTTGGTGAGAAGCTGACAACAGTTGGTGCGATTATTCGCAAATGGAAGAAACACAAAATAACTGTCAATCTCCCTCGGCCTGGGGCTCCATGCAAGATCTCACCTCGTGGAGTTGCAATGATCATGAGAACGGTGAGGAATCAGCCCAGAACTACACGGGAGGATCTTGTCAATGATCTCAAGGCAGCTGGGACCATAGTCACCAAGAAAACAATTGGTAACACACTATGCCGTGAAGGACTGAAATCCTGCAGCGCCCGCAAGGTCCCCCAGCTTAAGAAAGCACATATACAGGCCCGTCTGAAGTTTACCAATGGACATCTGAATGATTCAGAGGAGAACTGGGTGAAAGTGTTTTGGTCAGATGAGCCCAAAATCGAGCTCTTTGGCATCAACTCAACTCGCCGTGTTTGGAGGAGGAGGAATGCTGCCTATGACCACAAGAACACCATCCCCACCGTCAAACATGGAGATGGAAACATTATGCTTTGGGGGTGTTTTTCTGCTAAGGGGACAGGACAACTTCACTGCATCAAAGGGACGATGGACGGGGCCATGTACTGTCAAATCTTGGGTGAGAACCTCCTTCCCTCAGCCAGGGCATTGAAAATGGGTCGTGGATGGGTATTCCAGCATGACAATGACCCAAAACACACGGCCAAGGCAACAAAGGAGTGGCTCAAGAAGAGGCACATTAAGGTCCTGGAGTGGCCTAGCCAGTCTCCAGACCTTAATCCCATAGAAAACTGTGGAGGGAGCTGAAGGTTCGAGTTGCCAAACATCAGGCTCAAAACCTTAATGACTTGGAGAAGATCTACAAAGAGGAGTGGAACAAAATCCCTCCTGAGATGTGTGCAAACCTGGTGGCTAACTACAAGAAACGTCTGACCTCTGTGATTGCCAACAAGGGTTTTGCCACCAAGTACTAAGTCATGTTTTGCAGAGGGGTCAAATACTTATTTCCCTCATTAAAATGCAAATCAAATTTATAACATTTTTGACATGCGTTTTTCTGGATTTTTTTGTTGTTATTCTGTCTCTCACTGTTCAAATAAACCTACCATTAAAATTATAGACTGATCATGTCTTTGTCAGTGGGCAAACGTACAAAATCAGCAGGGGATCAAATACATTTTTCCCTCACTGTATGTAAAAACACTATGTTTGTAGTTATAGGTAACCAGATCGTGACTACAACTAAGTTACTAAGTCTTTGACCACACAGTGTTGTTACTTTGGTGAGTAAAAACGAATGCTTCCTACTCTTTAATAACACAAGATAGATATATTGGTCTCCACTACGACACATAAGTATATCCCGTAGGCTTCACCTAAACCATAGCCTAATGTAACCTATCAAAACTAATTTCCCTTTAGAAATTAATTATTTTTCTATTTATGTTTAATCAATTCCTCCTGCTGCAGGATTATTTTACTCCAGTGACAAAACTGGTCAAATTAAGATCTCACACCTGTATTCTAGACCTGAAAAATCTAAATCAATCAACATGTACAGTTGAAGTCGGAAGTTTACATACACCTTAGCCAAATACATTTAAACTCAGTTTTTCACAATTCCTGACATTTAATCCTAGTAAAAATTCCCTGTCTTAGGTCAGTTAGGATCACCACTTTATTTTAAGAATGTGAAATGCCATAATAATAGTAGAGAGAATGGTTTATTTCAGCTTTTATTTATTTCATCACATTCCCAGTGGGTCAGAAGTTTACATACACTCAATTAGTATTTGGTAGCATTGTCTTTAAATTGTTTAACTTGGGTCAAACGTTTCGGGTAGCCTTCCACAAGCTTCCCACAATAAATTGGGTGAATTTTGGCCCATTCCTCCTGACAGAGCTGGTGTAACTGAGTCAGGTTTGTAGGCCTCCTTGCTCGCACACGCTTTTTCAGTTCTGCCCACACATTTTCTATAGGATTGAGGTCACGGCTTTGTGATGGCCACTCCAATACCTTGACTTTGTTGTCGTTAAGCCATTTTGCCACAACTTTGGAAGTATGCTTGGGGTCATTTGGAAGACCCATTTGCGACCAAGCTTTAACTTCCTGACTGATGTCTTGAGATGTTGCTTCAATATATCCACATAATTGTCCTTCCTCATGATGCCATCTATTTTGTGAAGTGCACCAGTCCCTCCTGCAGCAAAGCACCCACACAGCATGATGCTGCCACCCCCGTGCTTCACGGTTGGGATGGTGTTCTTCGGCTTGCAACAACCCCCTTTTTCCTCCAAACATAACAATGGTCATTATGGACAAACAGTTCTATTTTTGTTTCATCAGACCAGAGGACATTTCTCCAAAAAGTACTATCTTTGTCCCCATGTGCAGTTACAAACCGTAGTCTGGCTTTTTTATGGCGGTTTTGGAGCAGTGGCTTCTTCCTTGCTGAGCGGCCTTTCAGGTTATGTCGATATAGGACTTGTTTTACTGTGGACATAGATGATTTTGTACCTGTTTCCTCCAGCATCTTCACAAGGTCCTTTGCTGTTGTTCTGGGATTGATTTTCACTTTTTGCACCAAAGTACGTTCATTTCTAGGAGACAGAACGCGTCTCCTTCCTGAGCGGTATGACGGCTGTGTGGTCCCATGGTGTTTATACTTGCGTACTATTGTTTGTACAGATGAAGGTGGTACCTTCAGACATTTGGAAATTGCTCCCAAGGATGAACCAGACTGTGGAGGTCTACCATTTTTTTCTGAGGTCTTGGCTGATTTCTTTTGATTTTCCCATGATGTCAAGCAAAGAGGCACTGAGTTTGAAGGTAGGCCTTGAAATACATCCACAGGTACACCTCCAATTGACTCAAATGATGTCAATTAGCCTACCAGAAGCTTCTAAAGCCATGACATTTTCTGGAATTTACCAAGCTGTTTAAAGGCACCGTCAACTTAGTGTATGTAAACTTCTGACCCACTGGAATTGTGATACAGTGAATTATAAGTGAAATAATCTGTCTGTAAACAATTGTTGGAAAAATTACTTGTGTCATGCACAAAGTAGATGTCCTAACCGACTTGCCAAAACTAGTTTGTTAACAAGAAATTTGTGGAGTGGTTGAAAAACTAGTTTTAATGACTCCAACCTAAGTGTATGTAAACTTCTGACTTCAACTGTAGGCCTAGCTTTCTAGGACAAAATGAAACATACATTTGCTGATTATCATAGCTTAGGCCTTACAACCTGGCATTGTTATGGAGTAATGCATGTTAACCTTAAGAACTTCCAGTACACAGATGTGGTATTAAAACAGAGACTGAACGAGGGTTGAAGGACGTGTGTACTGGGGGTGTCATCTGAGTGCTACAAGGCCTTCATACTCCTGACATGGAAAAGAGAGGTGCTTTATCAGTGTTTATAGACTATCAGTGGTACCTGCTGCCTTGTAAACCCACCCTGCCCTGTAAAAGCAGGCTGCGCCAGAAAAGCCCACTATCTGTGCTGACCTCCCTGTGGGGCAGATGAACAGGGTTTATAGAGGCAGGTGTAGATGCCTCCAAGTGGATGGGGTCATCACTGACCCCCGCGAACCCAACCCTCCCTAGACCCCCCATCCTCACCCTGAAACACCACTCTGACCAATACTCAGAGGGATTATTTGACATGTGAAAGTCATCAGATAATCGGAAACATACCTGTAACTTTTTGGACTGTCAGATTTGTCAGAGTGTCAGAGGGGAGGTGCGCAGGTGTGAAAATAGCAATATGGTAATAGAGAAGAATCCATTTTTATAAGTAAGAGAGATTCTTGTCTCGTTTTATTGAGAGCCACCCACCTCGGGTGATGGACAGCAATCGTATTTGAGTGATATATCTTAATCTAAAGATATGGATCGAACAGGCATGTTGGATAAAACAGATTGGATAAAACAAGGTAAATAATCCCATATTTTTGCACTCTCCTATTCTAAGAGGACATGGTGAAGTGAAAGACATGGAGAGAGACTGTCATGCCATGCGGATGGACACCATGAATAAGGTCATAATTAAATCTGCCCTGCGTATTGCATCATGGTACCATGAAGAAAAAGTCTGGTTTGTGAACATATGTTTGGGACAGAAGAGAAAGCCCTCGGTGGCAATGAAGAGTCCAAGGGTCCAGCTGGAGAATCCAAGTGTGTGTGTGTGTGTGTGTGTGTGGAGGAAGGATTGTATTAATGATGTGGGGCCTGACATGCACCCTGACGGCTTAAAGGCAGCTGGTGAGCAGCACAACCATATCATCCCAGCTGCATGAGAGGAACCACTCGGTTTTAGAATGGTGACTAAGCGTCCTGAAACATGAAACACCATTATATTGTCCCAGAGTGGGGTGCATTGACACAACCCAATGGGTTATCCCATAACTGTTAAAAAAATGGAAACTTAACTTTGAACCACATTTGATCAAGACATCTATAATGAGTAGACACGCTAACTAACCAGACTGGGGTACAATGACACAACTCAATGAATTATCCCCACATCAATACTGCTACAAACATGGAACTCAGTCTGAACCACAACTGATCTAGCCTGGTCCCAGATCGGTTTGTGCATTTGCCTACTCCATTGTCAAGTCAAACATGGCATGACAATTCCATAAGGGGTTAGTAAGAGGCTAGAGCAGAAACAGACTGGCACCCAGGCTACAACTTATAAAGTCATCCAGAAAAAGTACACGCAGAAGTAACCCTATACCTATCCTAAACCACAGCCGGATAATAACTAGAAAAAGAAGGTCCAACTCTCCACGGCTGCAGTTCAACCACCATTAAAAACTCTACTTTATATCACTAGATGTGCGCACTTAATCAGAAAAAAATAAAATTATAGCGTGAAAGTGTTCATTTGGGACAGCTCTGTGGATTCAAACAGCACACTGACTCCCGCATGTATATTTCAGCCTCTGACAGGTCTCTAAGAATTCTGGCTCTAGCAGCCTAATCACCAGCTTTAAATAAACTGGTTTACACCACCTTAATGCAGCATGCTAGGCTACGGCAGCCCTATGGGGACACAATATGGATGCTTGCTAATTTACCAACACAGCAGGAAAGGGTGAGCGAGAGAGAATCTTATTGTGTGGAACTGAGAGGCTAAGCTGGGGGAGGAATGTTTTTGGCTCGTTCAAGGGGTAGTCAATTCTGAAAATGTTTTACAATTTTGTATTTACAGTGCCTTTGGAAAGTATTCAGACCCCTTGACTTTTTCCACATTATGTTACGTTACAGCCTTATTAAAAAATAGATTAAATAAATACAAATCCTCATCAATCTACACACAATAACCCATAATGACAAAACAAAAATTGTTTTTGATTTTTCTGCAAATTTATAAAAAATTAAAAACAAATACTTTATTTACATAAGTATTCAGACCCTTTGCAATGAGACTCGAAATTGCGCTCAGGTGCATCCTGTTTCTGTTGATCATCCTTGAGATGTTTCTACAACTTGATTGGAGCCCACCTGTGGTAAATTCAATTGATTGGACATGATTTGGAAAGCCACACACCTGTCTATATAAAGGTCCCACAGTTGACAGTGCATTTCAGAGCAAAGTCCAAGCAATGAGGTCGAAGGAATTGTCCGTAGAGCTCCGAGACAGGATTGTGTCGAGGCACAGATCTGGGGAAGGGTACCAAAACATTTCTGCAGCACTGAAGGTCCCCAAGAACACAGTGGCCATCATCATTCTTAAAAATGGAAGAAGTTTGGAACCACCAAGACTCTTCCTAGAGCTTGCCGCCCGGCCAAACTGAGCAATCGGGGGAGAAGGGCCATGGTCAGGGAGGTGACCAAGAACCCAATGGTCACTCTGACAGAGCTCCAGAGTTCCTCTATGGAGATGGGAGAACCTTCCAGAAAGACAACCATTTCTGCAGCACACCACCAATCAGCCCTTTATGGTAGAGTGGCTAGATGGAAGCCAATCCTCAGTGTAAGGCACATGACAGCCTGCTTGGAGTTTGCCAAAAGGCACCTAAAGACTCTCTGACCATGAGAAAGAAGATGTTCTGGTCTGATGAAACCAAGCTTGAACTCTTTGGCCTGAATGCCAAGTGTCACGTCTGGAGGAAACCTGGCACCACACCTACGGTGAAGCATGGTGGTGGCAGCATCATGCTGTGTGGATGTTTTTCAGCGGCAGGGACTGGGAGACTAGTCAGGATCGAGGGAAAGATGAACGGAGCAAAGTACAGAGCGATCCTTGATGAAAACCTGCTCCAGAGCGCTCAGGACCTCAGTCTGGCACGAAGGTTCACCTTCCAACAGGACAACGACCCTAAGCACACAGCCAAGACTATGCAGGAGTGGCTTCGGGACAAGTATCTGAATGTCCTTGAGTGGCCCAGCCAGAGTCCGGACTTGAACCCCATCGAACATCTCTGGACGGACCTGAAAATAGCTGTGCAGCAACACTCCCCATCCAACCTGACAGAGCTTGAGAGGATCTGCAGAGAACAATGGGAGAAACTCCCCAAATACAGGTGTGCCAAGCTTGTAGTGTCATACCCAAGAAGAATTGAGGCTGTAATCGCTGCCAAAGGTGCTTCAACAAAGTACTGACTAAAGGGTCTGAATACTTATGTAAATGTTATATTTCATTTTCAGTTTTATTTTATAAATTTGCAATAAAATCTAAAAACCAGTTTTTGCTTGGTCATTATGGGGTATTGTGTGTAGATTGATGAGGTCAAAAAATATTTAATTTATTTTAAAGTAAGGCTGTAACGAAACAAAATGTGGGAAAAGGTCAAGGGGTCTGAATACTTTCCGAATGCACTGAATGTGGATTTGGGGGTTGTGCTTTGCACTACGCTTGTCAGACCTTCTATTAATTTTGTTCCTTTCAATTTATTAGTTAAGCCGAGTCAACCGTCCAATATGCACAATAATTAATCAGAATAGGAATCAGAATGTGCTTCTCAACGTTTCACTTACTGCTTCATGGCGATGATTTTGGAGTCTATGGTCTCCTGCTTGCCCTTTATGTGCTGAACGTTGGTCAGAATTTTTGAGACATCGTCTGAGCTCATCTTAAGCTCATCATGTTTAACATTGGACACCTGAGGGGGAGGGAGAACATGACGAAATGGTTAAAGCAAACTGTTAAAGCAAAGAAAACTGTTAAAGTGAGGAGGGAAAAAGTTCAAAACAAGTCTTCAGTGTAGGCATTGGCCCCGACTTGAACCCTGAGGGATAGACAATGGAAACGCAATGAAAAGAGTGTATGATTCGGTATTCCGTTTTTAGCCTGAACTGGTCAGTTGGCCCGAGGCAGACTATATCAAGGTGCAGATGGAAACAGCTGTAAATCAGTGGACTGAGTGGAGCAGAAAGTGACTGCATTTAAGGGTCAGGCAACATCAGATCACGAGCTCCCTGGCCTGCCTTCTCTAATCCACCCATCCCCAGCTGGCAGGCTCCACAGAGACCACTAGATTAGCTCAATCTGTCCCGCGAGCAGAGAGGAAGAGCAGGCCAAGCAGGCCATGCACTGGGAGCACATGCTGTCATTCTGACATGCCGTATGTCTGAGGAGCATCCCAATGGGTCTTCTCTATGGGGAGTTTTACTGAGGATTTCCATGTGTGTTTTCTACAGGGAGTTGGCTACATAGTTCTGACTATAAATGTAATATATTTGTACTAATTTCTTAACTAATATTGTTTGGGCATTGTAAAGCCTATTTAAAACACTGTTCGGAGTTGAGTACGAAGAAACACACTACACATGAATCAGACATATCATGATGATCACCTTATCATTTTGCACTTACATTGTTAACTTTCCGTTTAATATTTTCCAACAGATGCTCTTGGCCGCGGATGAAGTAGGGATGCTGGAATTCAGTGTCGTCCTTCTCAGGCTTCACCAGGCCGCCCTGCTCAATGTGGACTACTTTGCGGAAGCCATCTGTAGAAAGAAAAAAACAACAATTTACAGTTTTGACTAAGGCATACCATTCAATTTCTAGAGATACATGCCAATTACATAGCCTTTATTTTTTGTTTCTGACATTTGCCTGGTTTCTAGGTCACTGTATGCAATCATATCCTCCTAGCCTTTTCAGTCTTAATAAATAACATGCAAGTGGATTACATAACCAAAGATACAAAAAAAAGCACAAGGATTTCACAGTTTAAAAAAACCACATTGTTACATCTACCTCAACTTCTGAGAAATAGCCTCTATAAAAATAAGTCCTTGGTTGAGTCTATTTAAAGGCTCATTATAATATAAGCAAATAATATGCAGAATCTACCGCACACCCAAAACCGATAAGTGAAGGTTCTGGAGGCAAAATGCTAAACTGGAGAAACATAAATAGTATAAGCAAATCAAATGAAGGTACTATTAAGATTTTATTCCATGGCATTGCCATGCTAATGTGTTAAATACATGAATGACAACTCACACATATTGAGCTGGCGCACAAAGCTGGCCATGTTATTGTGTTTAAAATACTTGGGAAGCACCTCCTTGGAGAATCGGCACTGATCAAACACATGGAAGCTGTTGCCATTCTGTAAAGGAAGAACAATAACAGTTAAAGAAATATCGCACAACCCAGGTTTACCTTAGCTAGGCCTTATGTACTGAGCATGTACTAAGAATCAGGTTAAGCTGCCTTGGGTGGCTTACAACAAAGCTAAACAACATTGGGTCTGATAAAGTCTAACTAAACTCTGTGACTTTGGCAAGTCTCTGGCATTGGTTTACAGGTTGGATCATTACGAAATACCACATTGGCGATGTAAAGAAACACGACTCCAACACCATCATTAAGTTTGCTGACGACACAACAGTGGTAGGCCTGATCACCGACAACAATGAGACAGCCTATAGGGAGGAGGTCAGAGACCTGGCGGTCTGGTGCCAGGATAACAACCTCTCCCTCAATGTGAGCAAGACAAAGGAGCTGATCGTGGACTACAGGAAAAGGCGGGCCGAACAGGCCCCCATTAACATCAAAGGGGCTGTAGTGGAGCGGGTTGAGAGTTTCAAGTTCCTTGGTGTCCACATCACCAACAAACTATCATGGTCCAAACACACCAAGACAGTCATGAAGAGGGCACGACAACACCTTTTCCCCCTCAGGAGACTGAAAAGATTTGGCATGGGTCACCAGATCCTCATAAAGTTCTACAGCTGCACCACCGAGAGCATCCTGACCAGTTGCATCGCCGCCTGCTATGGCAACTGCTCGGCATCTGACCATAAGGCGCTACAGAGGGTAGTGCGTACGGCCCAGTACATCACTGAGGCCAAGCTTCCTGCCATCCAGGACCTATATACTAGGCGGTGTCAGAGAAAAGCCCAAAAAATTGTCAGACTCCAGTCACCCAAGTCATAGGCTGTTCTCTCTGCTACTGCATGGCAAGCGGTACCGGAGCACCAAGTCTAGGACCTAAAGGCTCATTCACAGCTTCTACCCCCAAGCCATAAGACTGCTGAACAATTACTCAAATGGCCACCCGGACTATTTACATTGACCCTCAGGCCTCTACTATACTACCACATATCATTAACACAAAATCCATGTGTACGTGTGTATAGTGCGTATATTATTGTGTGTTTGTATGCATGTGTCTATGTTTGTGTTGCTTCACAGTCCCCGCTGTTCCATAAGGTGTATTTTTTATCTGTTTTTTTAAAATTAATTTTACAGCTGGCATGAGTTACTTGATGTGGAACAGAGTTCACAATCCAGGGTTACGCCAAGCAATTTAGTCTCCTCAACTTGCTCAATTTCCACATTATTCATTACAAGATTTAGTTGACGTTTAGGGTTTAGTGAATGATTTGTCCCAAATACAATGCTTTTAGTTTTTGAAATATTTAGGACTAACTTATTCCTTGCCACCCATTCTGAAAATAACTGCAGCGCTTTGTTAAGTGTTGCTGTCATTTCAGTCGCTGTGTTAGCTGACGTGTATAGTGTTGAGTCATCTGCATACATAGACACACTGGCTTTACTCAAAGCCAGTGGCATGTCGTTAGTAAAGATTGACAAATGTAAGTGGCCTAGACAGCTGCCCTGGGGAATTCCTGATTCTACCTGGATTTTGTTGGAGAGGCTTCCATTAAAGAACACCCTCTGTGTTCTGTTAGACAAGTAACTCTTTATCCACAATATAGCAGAGGGTGTAAAGCCATAACACATCAGTTTTTTCAGCAACAGACTATGATCGATAATGTCAAAAGCCGCACTGAAGTCTAACAAAACAGCCCCCACAATCTTTTTTATCATCAATTTCTCTCAGCCAATCATCAGTCATTTGTGTAAGTGCTTGTTGAATGTCCTTACCTATAAGCGTGCTGAAAGTACAGTGAGGGAAAAAAGTATTTGATCCCCTGCTGATTTTGTACATTTGCCCACTGACAAAGAAATTATCAGTCTAGAATTTTAGTGGTAGGTTTATTTGAACAGTGAGAGACAGAATAACAACAAAAAAATCCAGAAAAACGCATGTCAAAAATGTTATAAATGGATTTGCATTTTAATGAGGTAAATAAGTATTTGACCCCCTCTCAATCAGAAAGATTTCTGGCTCCCAGGTGTCTTTTATACAGGTAACGAGCTGAGATTAGGAGCACACTCTTAAAGGGAGTGCTCTTAATCTCAGTTTGTTACCTGTATAAAAGACACCTGTCCACAGAAGCAATCAATCAATCAGATTCCAAACTCTCCACCATGGTCAAGACCAAAGAGCTCTCCAAGGATGTCAGGGACAAGATTGTAGACCTACACAAGGCTGGAATGGGCTACAAGACCATCGCCAAGCAGCATGGTGAGAAGGTGACAACAGTTGGTGTGATTATTCGCAAATGGAAGAAGTACAAAAGCACAGTCAATTTCCCTCAGCCTGGGGCTCCATGCAAGCTCTCAACTCGTGGAGTTGCAATGATCACGAGAACGGTGAGGAATCAGCCCAGAACTACACGGGAGGATCTTGTCAATGATCTCAAGGCAGCTGGGACCATAGTCCACAAGAAAACAATTGGTAACACACTACGCCGTGAATAACTGAAATCCTGCAGTGCCCGCAAGGTCCCCCTGCTCAAGAAAGCACATATACAGGGCCATCTGAAGTTTGCCAATGAACATCTGAATGATTCAGAGGAGAACTGGGTGAAAGTGTTGTGGTCAGATGAGACCAAAATCGAGCTCTTTGGCATCAACTCAACTCGCCGTGTTTGGAGGAGGAGGAATGCTGCCTATGACCCCAAGAACACCATCCCCACTGTCAAATATGGAGGTGCAAACATTATGCTTTGGTGGTGTTTTTCTGCTAAGGGGACAGGACAACTTCACCGCATCAAAGGGACGATGGATGGCGCCATGTACCGTCAAATCTTGGATGAGAACCTCCTTCCCTCAGCCAGGGCATTGAAAATGGGTCGTGGATGGGTATTCCAGCATGACAATGACCCAAAACACACGGCCAAGGCAACAAAGGAGTGGCTCAAGAAGAAGCACATTAAGGTCCTGGAGTGGCCTAGCCAAAATCTGTGGAAGGAGCTGAAGGTTTGAGTTGCCAAACGTCAGCCTCGAAACCTTAATGACTTGGAGAAGATCTGCAAAGAGGAGTGGAACAAAACCCCTCCTGAGATGTGTGCAAACCTAGTGGCCAACTATAAGAAATGTCTGACCTCTGTGATTGCCAACAAGGGTTTTGCCACCAAGTACTAAGTCATGTTTTGCAGAGGGGTCAAATACTTATTTCCCTCATTAAAATGCAAATCAATTTATAACATTTTTGACAAATCCAGTTTTTCTGGATTTTGTTGTTATTCTGTCTCTCACTGTTCAAATAAACCTACCATTCAAATTATGGACCGGTCTTGTCTTTGTCAGTGGGCAAACGTACAAAATCAGCAGGGGATCAAATATTTTTTCCCTCACTGTATAAAATGATTCATTAGGAGTGGCAACATCGTCCGCTATTATACTCCTATTATTTCCTATCCAAGTTGTCAGACCCTGGTAACTTGTCATTCTTGATTAACAATAATACTTGTCACCTCTTCCACTTACTTTACGGAATTCAAAATTACAATACTTGTCTTTCATAATTTGGTCAGATATACTTGGATGTAGTGTCAGCGTTTGTTGCTGGCATGTCCTGCCTAAATTTGCTAATCTTGCCAATGAAAAGATCAGGTGCATCCTGTTTCCATTGATCATCCTTGATATGTTCCTACAACTTGATTGGAGTTCACCTGTGGTAAATTCAACTGATTGGACATGATTTGGAAAGCCACACACCTGTCTATATAAGGTCCCACAGTTGACAGTGCATGTCAGAGCAAATACCAAGCCATGAGGTTGAAGAAATTGTCCGTAGAGCTCCGAGACAGAATTGTGTCGAGGCACAGATCTGGGGAAGGGTACCAAAAAGTTGGAACCACCAAGACTCTTCTTAGAGCTGGCCGCCCGACCAAACTGAGCACTCGGGGAGAAGGGCCTTGATCAGGGAGGTGACCAAGAACCCGATGGTCACTCTGACAGAGCTCCAGAGTTCCTCTGTGGAGACGGGAGAAACTTCTAGAAGGACAACCATCTCTGCAGCACTCCACTAATCAGACCTTTGCGGTAGAGTGGCCACTCCTCAGTAAAAGGCACATGACAGCCCGCTTGGAGTTTGCCAAAAGGCACCTAAAGTACTCTCAGACCATGAGAAACAAGATTATCTGTTCTGATGAAACGAAGATTGAACTCTTTGGCCTGAATGCCAAGCATCACGTCTGGAGGAAATCTGGCACCATCCTTACGGTGTAGCATGGTGGTGGCAGCATCATCATGCTGTGTGTATGTTTTTCAGAGGCAGAGAGACTAGTTAGGATTGATGGAAAAGATGAATGGAGCAATGTACAGAGATACTTGATGAAAACCTGCACCAGAGCGCTCAGGATCTCAGACTGGGGTGAAGGTTTACCTTCCAACAGGACAACGACCCTAAGCACACAGCCAAGACAACGCAGGAGTGGCTTCGGGACAAGTCTTTGAACGTCCTTGAGTGGCCCAGCCAGAGCCCAGACTTGAACCCGATCTAACATCTCTAGAGACCTGAAAATAGCTGTGCAGCGACGCTCCCCATCCAACCAGAGAGAGCTTGAGAGGATCTCCAGAGAATAATGGGAGAAACTCCCCAAATATAGGTGTGCAAAGCGTCATACCCAATAAGACTCTAAGCAAAATTTCTAAAAACATGTTTTTGCTTTGTCATTATGGGTTATTGTGTGTAGATTGAGGGGAGGGGAACAATTTAATCCATTTTAGAATAAGGCTGTAACGTAACATGTTGAAAAAGTCAAGGGGTCTGAATACTTTCCGAATGCCCGGTATGTACTGAATAAAAATATAAACTTCAATGTGATTCCAACACCTTTTAAACTGATGGTTCTCTCACAAAAAAAGGTTGCATTATATAGCAAGTAGTGGGCATGTGCTGTCTCGCCAATAGCTCGCAGACACAGTCTAGCCTACATGATGAGATTATTATGGACAAAAGAGCTTGATTATTTTTATTTGTCAAACGGCAGCCAAGCATAGATGATCATGTCACCAGAATAAGACCCTCGATATTTATCGGAAAGGGGAATCAGGCTCATCACCTTGCACTTTCACCATCCTGTGAAGTTCATCATAATTTATTTAATCTGTAGCCTAATAAACTGCATGCTTTCCCGACAAGTCATAGTGGGAGGACCACACGTCATTGCCTGACTCCAAGTTTACTTCGATACTTCTATATTATACTATTTGCGCATAAAATCGGTTCCACTGACATTTCTCGCATAATACATTTTACCAACAAAAAGATCACACCTTATCTAGCGTATTTTTTTTTTTGGTCGACATTCCGAAAATTCACCCACAAATGTTCTGTTTCCATCAGATGTACTTTAATAGCATAAACAGGTTGGATGGAAACCTGGTTAATTATATTATTTTCTACACAGAAGAGCATAGAAAAACATTGGCTGATGATCTTCTTAACTGCCTAATACCTTTGAAGCATTTCAGTCACTTCAAACCATACTTCCTTCAGATTGAAATACTGTCAAAACTAATGTCAGACTGATTCGCAATACTGTCATAGCCGTAATAAAAAAAGTAAACATTTACATCGCTTTTTTTTTTACATGGTAGGGCAGCGATTTTTTTACTATATCTATTGTAGCTAGTAATGTCTGGTAAAAAGCTGTCAAATTGCGTCATGGCGGTGTTACACACATATTCATCATCCGTTGCTAAAATTGGTTATACAGCCACACCCCCCTTTTCTCACACCCCCTTTTCTCATAACCATGCTAGCTAGTTTCAATGAATGTGTGGTTTTTGCATGGCTGTTTGACACACGTATAGATTGCTTGCTACTGTTTCGACAGTTTCCCAAATTAGCTAGCTGCAGACAGGGCTTGCTAACATAGCTAGCCAGCTAACGATAATTGACACCCAGGAACAGCTGAAGGGTGGAATGACCAAACCACCGGCCACGAAGCTCCCCCGGCCATTGCTGCCCAGATTAATAAATGTGTCACCTTCACATTTGACCAAATTAAGTTGGCTAGTTACCTAGCTAGCTGGTTAGTTACATCTTTCTGACTCAGTCCAACCAACTCGTATGATCTCGTTAGCAAGCTAGCTACCCAGGCTAACTAGCTAGTTGGCTAACTGATGTGGTTTATCATATAGTTAGCTAGTTATAGTAAACGGTGTCTGTGTTAAATTGTCCTGCTAGTTAGCTAACATATTGAATGACATTTAGCTTGCAAATGTCAAGAAAGTGAACCAAGTCTGAGTTATACGAAGCAAGGTGTCCAGCAGCTAGGTAGTAGGTTAGTTGGCATTATTGACGCTCGCTAACTCACTGGGCTCCAGCAGATCAGAGGATCGGTGTCAGGATCCTCAACAAGAGTCCAAAGTTTTGTGAGAAATGCAGGGACGTTATTGCCACTGACCACGACCCCAACAGACCCACCACCGTGGAACTCCATTATCGACAAGAATTGCTTTAAAAGTTGATAAACTCCCAAAATAACCCAAAACAGGGGGGGAGAACTCCAGAGAAAAGCTAATCCAAAACACAGCGCAATCCTTGCTGTAACAACTATGCAATTTCGATTGTCAATGCTCCTTATCTTAACCTAAACGAAAATATTTCGAAGACTTTTAGCTAATTGAGAAACTATTACGAGTGGAAGTTTCCATCAAATGGACATATCTAAACAACTGCGTAGAGAAAGGCCATTGCACAGGCGCATGGTGGTCGCCATTTTGTGACATCATCAGAGAGAAAAAAATCTCTACCAAAGAAAACTAAAGTGTCATGAATTAAATGCCAAAATAATATATATATATATATATATATCCCTAATGTTAATTATATATTAATATAACACAAGATGAAACAATAAAATATAAACTACACCAAAACTCACCTTTAAACTTTGACCTCTGAACTGTTTTCCAGCCCATACATTTGCAGCATATTTAGGGTAATTAATTTGAGCTATCAAATTATGTAATTATCTACTATAAAATAATTACAGATATTTGTTTGTAATCGCTTTAGAAAATTGCCGTTTTAAAACACACTCAACTTTAAACTTTGACCTCTTGCCGGAATCCCACATGGTCGGCTGTTGATGTACAAGAAGCATGCCTACTGTGAATCTAGAATCACAGAAAAACGGCACCATGAGTAAAGCTAAAGTAAAGACTGCGAAGAAAAGAGTTGCTGAAGAGGACAATGACCAGGTAAGATAAGTATTTCGGAAATGTATATTCGGTATTAAAATGGGTAACGTTAAAGGGTAATGTATTCGTTGCTAACAAGCTAGCTAGGCTAGCTAACGTTAGTTTTGCAAGGAAATGTGGATGTGCAAGCTCAAAACCCCGCAGGTTTTCTAACTACTTTTTTTTGTCAATCACCCACAGATGTGTTAGCTAATAAAATAAGTAACAGTGTTTTTGTATAAACAGTAGCTAATGGTCTGTCTCACCTTGATCGCCTAGCAAACAATTTTGCTGCACGGTCACTATAGTCCATGATGAGCCAGACCCCCACATTTGGGCAGTCGGGGTGACTGTCTGATTTTTTTTTTTTTTAAGGTCTCGCTATTTCCCTAGAGTTGGAAAATGTGTGATAGCAGTGTAGTAATTGGAGCGTTTGTGTGTTAACTCTTTCTTCCATCCCATTCATTTTTCCCATAGGGATTTTACGCCTGCTACGTTAGGTTACCCAATCAAATAAAATGTTGTCAGTGCGGATTTACAGTGAAACGCTTACTTACGGGCCCTTCCAAACAATGCAGAGAGAGGAAAAAGAATAACACAAGGAATAAATACACAATGAGTAACGATAATTTGGCTATATACACTGGGTACCAGTATCGCGTACATATAGGTAGGGATAAAGTGACTAGGCAACAGGATAGATAAACAGTAACAGTAGTGTATGTGATGAGTCAAAATAGTTAGTGCTTGCGGTCGATGCCAAGCAGTTGCAATACCAAGCAGTTGCCATGCCAAGCAGTGATGCAGCCAGTCAAGATGGGCTCCCGAGTGGCTCAGCGGTCTAAGGCACTGCATCTCAGTGCTTGAGGCGTCACTACAGACCCTCTGGTTCGACTCCAGGCTGTTTCACAACCGGCCATGATTGGGAGTCCCATAGGGCGGTGCACAATTGGCCTTGCGTCGTCCGGGTTTGGCCGGTGTAGGCTGTCATTGTAAATAAGAATTTGTTCTTAACTGACTTGCCTAGTTAAATGAAGGTTAAATACAAAACATTGAAAGATGCTCTCAATGGTGCAGCTGTAGAACTTTGAGGATCTGAGGGCCCATGCCAAATCTTTTCAGCCTCCTGAGGGGGAAGAGGAGTTGTCGTGCCCTCTTCATGACTGTGTTGGTGTGTGTGTGGACCATGATAATTCCTTAGTGATGTGGACACAGAGGATCTTTTATGTTCTCGACCTGCTCCACTACAGCCCCTTCGATGTGGATGGGGCGTGCTCGGCCATTCGTTTCCTGTAGTCCACGATCAGTTCCTTTTGTCTTGTTGAGGGAGAGGTTGTTGTCCTGGCACCAGACTGCCAGGTCACTGACCTCCTCCCTGTAGGCTGTCTCGTCGTTGGTGATCAGGCCTACCACCGTTGTGTAGTCGTTAAACTCAATGATGGTGTTGGAGTCGTGTGTGACCACGCAGTCATGGGTAAACGGAGTACAGGAGGGGACTAGGCACGCACCCCTGAGAGGCCCCCGTGTTGAGGGTCAGCGTGGCAAATGGGTTGTTGCCTACCCTCACCTCTTGGGTGTGGCCCGTCAGGAAGTCCATGATTCAGTTGCAGAGGGAGGTGTTTAATCCTAGGGTCCTTAGCTTAGTGATGGAGGGCACTCTGGTGTTGAACGCTTAACTGTAGTCAATGAACAGCATTCTCACGTAGGTGTTCCTTTTGTCCAGGTGGTAAAGGGCAGTGTGGAGTGAAATAGAGATTGCGTCGTCTTTCGATCTGTTGTGGCGGTATGTGAATTGGAGTGGGGTCCAGGGTGTCTGGGAGGATGGTGTTTATGAGCCATGACCTGCCTTTCAAAGCATTTCATGGCTATAGCTGTGAGTGCTACGGGGCAATAGTCATTTAGACAGGTTACCTTGGCGTTCTTGGGCACAGGGACTATGGTGGTCTGCTTGAAACATGTCGGTATTACAGACTGGGTCAGGGAACGGTTGAAAATGTCAGTGAAGATGCTTTCCAGTTGGTCAGTGCATGCTCTTGAGTACGCAACCCGGTAATCTGTCTGGCCCTGCGGTCTTGTGAATGTTAACCTGTTTAAAATGTCTTACTCACATCGGCTACGGAGAGTGTGATCACACAGTCATCCGGAACAGCTGGTACTCTCATGCATGGTTCAGTGTTGCTAGCCTCGAAGTGAGCATAGAAAGTATTTAGCTCGTCTGGTAGGCTCACGTAACTGGACAGTTAGCGGCTGGGTTTCCCTTTGTAATCCGTGAAAGTAGCCACATCCGACGAGCGTCAGACCCAGTGTAGTAGGATTTTTGATGGTTCATTGGAGGGCGTGGCACAAGGTCTTATATTAACTTTTTGGTCCACTAGCCACTGTGGCAGGTAGATTTAAAAACGACGACTGTGTAGCTTCTTTTCTCCGGTACTTTTCTTGGTGTAGCCAGCCTATTTTTCTCTTGTAAAATTTTTTTTTTTTACTTTAAGCAAAACATTAGGAAATATAGCTGGCTACATTCTTTCTATGATAGGCCTAAACATCAGAAATATCTTGGCCATGCATCGTTTTTGTAAGCTCATATACTTGTGGGGCTGCCAGCCAAATAGCGTTGCAGTTCTGTTGTCATCTGATGAAAATTAAGCTATTTTCTGCTGAATGTGTTGCATTAATGTATTTGTGAAGGAAATCTATAGTTGCAAGTCCCTGATCACTCTATTGAAGCAAAAAAATACTGTTATTATTTCAATATAAAACACGACCCCTGTCAATACACAGCTGGACACATCTGCTCCCACTTTCTCCTGTTGTGCTATTTAAAAACAAACACGTGCCTGGTTCAACTGTGCTGGGGTACTAATTAGGTATACAGGTAAAAGTCAGTAAATTAGAATATTTTGAAAAACTTGATTTATTTCAGTAATTGCATTCAAAAGGTGTAACTTGTACATTATATTTATTCATTGCACACAGACTGATGCATTCAAATGTTTATTTCATTTAATTTTGATGATTTGAAGTGGCAACAAATGAAAATCCAAAATTCCGTGTGTCACAAAATTAGAATATTACTTAAGGCTAATACAAAAAAGGGATTTTTTAGAAATGTTGGCCAACTGAAAAGTATGAAAATGAAAAATATGAGCATGTACAATACTCAATACTTGGTTGGAGCTCCTTTTGCCTCAATTACTGCATTAATGCGGCGTGGCATGGAGTCGATGAGTTTCTGGCACTGCTCAGGTGTTATGAGAGCCCAGGTTGCTCTGATAGTGGCCTTCAACTCTTCTGCGTTGTTGGGTCTGGCATTCTGCATCTTCCTTTTCACAATACCCCACAGATTTTCTATGGGGCTAAGGTCAGGGGAGTTGGCTGGCCAATTTAGAACAGAAATACCATGGTCCGTAAACCAGGCACGGGTAGATTTTGCGCTGTGTGCAGGCGCCAAGTCCTGTTGGAACCTGAAATCTCCATCTCCATAGAGCAGGTCAGCAGCAGGAAGCATGAAGTGCTCTAAAACTTGCTGGTAGACGGCTGCGTTGACCCTTGATCTCAGGAAACAGAGTGGACCGACACCAGCAGATGACATGGCACCCCAAACCATCACTGATGGTGGAAACTTTACACTAGACTTCAGGCAACGTGGATCCTGTGCCTCTCCTGTCTTCCTCCAGACTCTGGGACCTCGATTTCCAAAGGAAATGCAAAATTTGCTTTCGTCAGAAAACATGACTTTAGACCACTCAGCAGCAGTCCAGCTCTTTTTTTCCTTAGCCCAGGTGAGACGCTTTTCGCGCTGTTTCTTGGTCAACAGTGGCTTGACACGAGGTATGCGGCAGTTGAAACCCATGTCTTTCAAGCGTCTCTTGGTGGTGGATCTTGAAGCCCTGACTCCAGCAGCTGTCCACTCCTTGTGAATCTCCCCCACATTTTTGAATGGGTTTTTTTTCACAATCTGACTAGGGCGCGGTGATCCCTATCGCTTGTACACTTTTTCTGACCACAGTTTTTCCTTCCCTTTGCCTCTCTATTAATGTGTTTGGACACAGAGCTCTGAGAACAGCCAGCCTCTTCTGCAATAACCTTTTGTGTCTTTCCCTCCTTGTGCAATGTGTCGATGGTCGCCTTTTGGACAGCTGTCAAATCTGAAGTCTTCCCCATGTTTGTGTAGGCTTCAGAACTGGACTGAGAGACCATTTAAAGCCCTTTGCAGGTGTTTTGAGTTAATCAGCTGATTATTTTGTGGCACCAGGTGTCTTCAAAATGTAACCCTTACACAATATTCTAATTTTGTGACACACGGAATTTTGGATTTTCATTTGTTGCCACTTCAAATCATCAAAATTAAATGAAATAAACATTGAATGCATCAGTCTGTGTGCAATGAATAATAAAACAAACACATGCCTGATTCAACTGTGCCTGGGTACTAATTATGGTATAAGCTTCATAATGTAAAATAAGGTGACTAGTGAAATAAGAACAAGATCTGCTTTACCTCCTAAAGCATTGCACAAGTTCATTGCAGGTATTTACTTAAATTGCTA